CCAATCGAAGCTGATGCCTCAGCCTGTGTACCTAAAGGTGTGCAGCAGCGAAACACCACATCTCCCGTGCAGCTATTATCGTCGGGTGACTCGTCTTCAGCCCATGTTGCGGATGTAGTTGCCGCCCTAGACCAATTACAAGCCTTCTCGACTCAATATAGAGCAGGTTGCAACGAATTTATCAAATATGCCTACTCAGGTGATAGTTTCGTGGGTGTCTATGTCGGATCAGGCCTCACTAGACAAAATATTCTCCCTTCGGTTCTCAAGAAGCTTAGCAGCCAGCTTAAGAGTGATGGTAGCGTTTCAGAGGAACTAGTGGTCCAGTTGTGCAGCAAATCTTCGGCCAGATACTCGTTGGGTATTTTCACCAATACCAAGGGCCACCTCGGTTCGGTCCAATCTGGTCTTCAGTCGTGGAAAAATGGCAGCTGTATAACGACCACTCACGAGGCTACCCCAGCGTGGCAAGAGGCAACCTATCTGATCCCAGCCGGCTTACACAGCAACTCCTCTACAACAACCATGACTAGTACCGCTGCTTTACCTCGATGGAAGCCTATAAAAACCCGCGATAGTGTTTGTCGTACTATCCAGGTAGAACCCAACGACTCATGCGATTTGCTCGCTAGCGAATGCGGCATTACAGCAGCGGACTTTTTAAAATTTAATCCTAGCCCGACCCTGTGTGGAAGCTTAAAGCCTGGTCAACATGTTTGCTGCAGTCCTGGAACTCTCCCAGATTTCTCACCGAAACCGGACGCAAAGGGCTACTGTTACCCCTACTTAGTCAAGTCTGGTGATTCTTGTTCTTCCCTCGCCGCAGCCTACGATATATCAAATGATGATATTGAGAAGTTCAACCAGAAAACGTGGGGTTGGAACGGCTGCCAAAAGTTATTCGCCGACTACACCATATGCCTTAGCAGCGGCTACCCTCCTATGCCTGCTCCTGTCGCTAATGCAGTTTGCGGACCACAAGTAAACAACACAGCTCCCTCACCCCCAGGAACAGACCTAAGCCAACTGAATCAGTGTCCCCTTAACGCATGTTGTAATATTTGGGGCCAATGTGGGACGACTAGCGAGTTCTGCACTCCGTCAAACTCTAGTACGGGGGCCCCAGGTACAGCAGCTCCCGGAGAGAATGGTTGTATTTCCAATTGTGGCACAGATATTATAACATCCGATGCTCCCAGCGAAACCTTCCATATTGCCTATTTTGAGGGCTTCGACTGGAAGCGACCCTGCTTACGTATGTCAGTTTCTGAAATCGATACTTCGGCTTATACTCACATCCATTTCTCCTTTATTACCCTTAATAAGGATTTCTCCATCAATTCGGATGATGTGGCAGATCAGCTTCCATTACTACAGGGCATGGTCGGTATCCGTCGCATTGTATCAGTTGGCGGTTGGGATTTCTCTACAAACCCAGATACCTACATGATATTCCGCGATGCGGTGAGTTCTGATGCAAACAGAAAGGCGCTAATTGCCAACGTTATTAAGTTTCTGAATGATCATGACTTGGATGGTATTGATTGGGATTGGGAGTACCCAAATGAGCCCGATATCCCCGGTATCCCCGCTGGCTCAGAGGAAGACACCACTGGCTATTTTCTGATGCTCAATGAATTGAAACAGAAAATGCCAGCTGGCAAGACTGTTTCTATTACTGTTCCAGCATCGTTCTGGTATCTACAGCGTTTCCCTATCAAAGCCCTGAGCCTCGTTGTCGACTATATCGTGTACATGACCTATGACTTACATGGGCAGTGGGATTATACCAATAAGTTTGTGAGCCCCGGATGCGTTTCATACTCTCAGGGGCTAGGAAACTGTCTACGATCCCATGTCAACCTCACCGAGACAGTTAATGCCCTATCGATGATCACTAAAGCGGGTGTCCCATCAAATATGGTCGCCATCGGCCTCAGTAGCTACGGCCGCTCATTTCAAATGGATACTCCCGGCTGCTGGACCGAGCAGTGTACCTTTACAGGGCCTGCATCGGGGGCATATCCTGGGCCTTGTACCAATACAGCTGGGTATATATCCGATTACGAGATAGGTCTAATTACATCTCAGAACCCATCGGCACAAGTTTTATGGGATGCCAACTCATACTCGAATATCATCTTGTTTAACGGCACTCAGTGGGTTGCTCATATGAACAAGACTAATAAGGCTACTCGGAAGGCTCTTTATCCGGGTCTCAATTTCCTTGGGACTGCCGACTGGGCAGTTGATTTGCAGTCTGAACATGGTGATGGGCCAGGCTCGCAGACTAATTCCTCAAGTGAGGTCATCTATATAGACCCTGGTATATGGGAATCGGCGACTCCTCAAGTAGTTGGCCCACCGGGTGCAACGCTAATCTGGCCCCCAATGCCACTCTCGAGTACTACCACGATTACATTCCCATTATGGACCACTACAATTTCGTATTCTAGTCTCACAACTCTCACAAGTACCCAGATGGATGGCTCAACATCGACCTATCCTCACTACGTCTATGTATCATGGCTTACATCTCTGACAATTCCGCCAGGTAGAGTTCCTGACCAACCATTTCTCAGCTCATGAGACAACGCTTATTTTCTTACACTTCACTGACTATTGGATCGGGTATAAATAGTGATAACTACTCGTATCCCCGTCTGGGGTGTATCTCTTACCAAGAGCCTAACAACCGGCACTATTTATCTTACAAGTTCTGTACAGCCACCTCCGTTCCAAGTCACTATTACGCCGTAAGTGGAATACATACTCCCAATTACAATGATAATTTGCCCCCAATTAATCAGTTTACTTCTTGTTATTATGTAGAGTTATCAGTGGTACCACCTCTGTTATCAGCGCTACCAAAACCACCACGATCCCAGCGGGCACAGTTATCTGGGGCACCAGTACTTACGTCAAGCCTGAGGAAACGGAGACTCTAGGGGGGACCACGACAGTGGTGAGCGGGAAAACTTTGCCGCCCACTGTTATTACTATAACGCCAAATCCTCATCCCACAACAGTGCCTGGAACTGTGGACCCCATCATCAACCCTAAGACGCCTAAATGGACGTCTGGCAGAAAACCTGAACCTACTGCCAAACCTGACTGCGACGGCTGCGGCTCAATCTGTAAGTTCCACATCTTTTTTCTAGCAAAGTCTGATAAATATGCCCACATATATGTCCGAAGTATGCAGTGTGCTAAATCATTTTCGCAATTTAGGCCTGCTGTTCTGCGATCCTGACTGCCCTTTCTGCCCTCCTGGAGTCTTTCCTCAACCTGGCGGTGGCTCTAATAATAACGGGGACGACGGTGAAAGCTCAACAAGTACACCCACTGGATCAAACGGCGCCCACACAATTTTGTATGAGACCCTCGCTGATGACGCGTATCCAACAACGCTTGCGGATATAGCCATGTTGTCTTCGCTAGCCTCGGAAGAAATATCCCTCATCAGGTCTTTCTTGGGTATTTCTAGTAGTACCACCAAGCCCACATCGACCCCAACGCCAACACCACCGCCCAAACCTACGCCCAAAGCAGACTGTGACTTCTGGGATGAGGGCTGGGGCTGGACGTTTGAAATCTACAACATCGACGGCTGGTCAATGGACAAAGGTGACTCACTACATCATGAAGAGAAAGGATGTGGCGCCCTCACAGGCTGGGATTATCACGAGGCAGACTCGACCACCTTTGCGTACACCTATTTTAACCTTCCATTCTTCATCAAAGATGGCTGCGTCGAGCGCGCTATTGTTTCAGCTGGCGGTCCCAAGATCTCTTGCAAGGGCCATAGCATCTTTGAGAGGAAACGGAGTGGTGTCAACTCCAGGGCGAGTATAGGAGCCAGGGCCCGCGTTAGGGCGAATGCCGTGCCTCCACACTATTCCGACGAGCAGGTTAAGGAGTTTGAGAGAATCTACGCCCATAACACATCTTATCGCTCATATTCGCCGTTAAACTGGGCTACTGACACCAGTAAGCCAACCATGACCACAGCGCCGACTATTACTACCCGATAGCTCGAAAATACTCATGATATATCAACCTGGTATAGCTGGCTTTGGAAGCATTCTCTGGTTTTTGAGCTACATTCGTATTTAATAGAGACCTGTAGCCGGACCTTTCAAATATCTTAAACTAGTTGTATGTTATATATTCCAAAAAAAAATGTATCTGCTTTGAAACCGCTGTGTTTCTATGGCATGGACCGGATCTAGGGGCAGCTTCATTTCATTCAACTGAGGCTATATTTAATACTGGAAAAACCTTTCCGGCCAGGCCAAAGGAGAAAATGGGCGAAAATAAGTCGAAAAGGCCCCTGGCCGTGAGCAGGTTGGTCATGCACCAGCTCTTTTAATCTATGTAATAAATTGGTCATCTCGACTGTAACTTATAACGAGTAATAACCATGCATGCCTGCAGCCATGTGTCAATATATTTACTTAGAATGCAACACGGCTAGCTGTAGCATCGCTCAGCTCTCCAACAAGAACACTCTTTATACAGTGACTGATGCTGCGACGAAAATGACTTTGAGCATAGCTGACTTTACTTTGGACACAAGCCCAAGCCCGCCTGGCATCTTGACCATAACCCTTCACGAAGGTGCTGGCTTCTCGACGGTAGACTACTACAGACAGATCTCCAACAACGATCTATCCAGCGATGCTACCAAAGTCCATCCATCGCAATATCTCGGGGGGAGCTTCGTGTATGCGCTTTTGAACTATGAAATGTCCCAAGTGACGGTCGAGTCGTTTTTCGGTACCAGCGAAGGTCCTACATGGGGAGTAGGATATTACGCAGAACGCGAGCTGTTCGTCTCCTGCTTGGCAGACTTGACTGTTCACCTCTATATCGGAGGCCACAGCACGGTAGACCAGGACATCTTCCTCGGTATGACACGGGTCAACCTGTTCGAGAGATACAAAACGCCCGAGTCACTATGGCTGGAACTACGGGACGGAGCCGGTAGGATCCGCGTCAGCTTTAAATATCGACATATCGAGGATAAACCATTGAAAAACGCAGACTTTGAGTACATCACTAAACTTGGGAAACCTCATACTGTCTCCTATGGAAAGGAAGCAGACCAGAAGACATTCGTTGAGAAAAAGATTGATATTTCCAAAGCACAATATATCACAACTAAACAACCCCAGATTAATCACCCATTTATCGCACCACTCTCACTTACCTTCAATCTACAAGGAACGCTGTACCTGCTCTCTCCTTTCGTCAGTGGTGGACATCTTTTTCGCCATATTCAAAAGCAGCGGTCTTTTGATATCGAGAGGTCACGGCTCTATACTGCCGAGATTCTTTGTGCGTTGGACTATCTCCACAATACCCATGGTATAATATCCTGGCTAAAGCCTGAAAATGTCCTTCTGGACTCCTTGGGCCATATAGTCCTATGCGGGTTTAGTCTCTTTACTAGAGAACGCGATACCTACACGATGCCAGAGTACCCAGCTCCAGAATTACTCCTCAATCATGGAAAGTCAAAGTCAGCGGACTGGTGGACACTTGGAATTTTCCTCTACGAAATGCTAATTGGGCTACCAGCATATTTTGATGATGACCCCAAGATGATATATCAAAGGATACTCAATCTCGACCAGCCTATCGAGTTCCCCGAGTCCATCCCCCCAACTGCCAAAGATATTATAACTAAACTTCTCGACCCCAGGCCTGAACGACGCCTCGGAGCCAATGGGGGGGCTCCCGAAATCAAAGCTCACCCATTCTTTGACGAGGTCGATTGGCACAAGCTTGATTTGCGGGAGTACAGGCCTCCTTTTCGGCCTAACTATGTAATGTGGTCCTTTGGACGTTATGGGTTCCCTATGTCAATGCCGGATGAGTTTGATGGGTTTCAATACAACAAACCACTGCTCAGAAGAAACACTATAATTGAAAACAATAGTTCTACCCTAAAATGCAAGGTTGAAACCTATCAGGTGGTTGTTGATGACGACTGGGAGCTTATCTGGGAGAACGGTCTACGGATATTCTATTTCTACAACCGCTTTACAGAGGCAAAACAACCAATTCCTCAGGCTGTGGCTCCCAATGATAATACTTCAAATGCAACAACCCCTAGCCAGGCCCAGAAACAAGCGGTACTCGAGGCTGCATTGCGAGCTGGATATAATCACGCAATCTCACAGCTACTAGAATATGGCATAGACTTGAACACAAATATCTTCGTTACTAGTACTTCTGGAGGTAAAAGTCCACTAGAATGGGCTACAGAGCATGAAAACTATAATCTAGTGACTCTTTTCCTTGATATGGGTGCCGATGCAGGTTTCTCTACGTTAAAAACAGCTATGGACAAAAGGAACCATAACATTATCAAGGCCGTGGTACAAAAATCTAACCGAATAGCTTCCACAAGGGCCCTTGGTCTTTCTATAGATCAACAAGATATTACCATGGTCACATTCCTCTTGGAAAACGGTGTTCAGTGCAACTTTCAAGAGGAAGATCGGCCTTCTCCCGAATATCGCCCTAGTGGCAGCGCCTTTGACCATGACTGCCCTTTATACCATGGCTCCTGGCCACAAGAGTTTATTCCTCCGCTCGTTCGGGCAGTTAAGCATGGTTACATTGACATTGCTCGGCTACTACTTAATTACAGGGCAGATGTTAATGTCGGCTACCATGATCTAGGATGGGACTTAACTGAGAGTCACGGACGAGGGAAAATTTCATTCTCATGTGGCAGGGTTATTCAGTTGGCAATGGAGTTAGGACATCTAGAAATTGTCCAACTGTTACTTGCCAGTGGCGCAGATATTGACCTTATACACCCTACCTGGTGTGTGCCGGGACATGAGTGCCATCCAGGATCAAGGGCCGTGTATCAGAAAGTTACAGCCAGCTTAAGGGTATCAGCAAAAAATAAAGGCCAAATGGCCACTATATAAGGTGGTGCAATATTCCATGCTTGTACTCCTGGCTAAGTGACAAAGAATTGATCCTGGCTTCATAAATTTGGATATTTATTTAAATTCTAAGGACAATGTACATAACCATTCATGATTCGACATCAATTTCTTATCACTGAATCCGGGTAGAGCTCCATTTCAACTCCTAAAGATTCCTCGGCTGTTTCTAAGAAATCAAATAATATCCCTTTTCCCTCCGGCAGCTCTTGCACCGCACGATCATCCGCAACAATAGTCAGCCCATCATCACGGATGAATAGAGTATGGATAGTATTAGCTGATTTTAGCTTCCATTTCTTCACGAGGGCATCTGTGAAGGCTTTTGCAGTGAGTTCCTCGATATATATTGCGTGGAAGTACTCTCCAGTTGTCTTCTTGTTATTCTGGCGCTTCTGGACATAGAAACAATGCTCTAAAACAATAGTAAGTGTCAGACATAACGAAGTTCATACATTGGGTTGAGAGGTAAATGAGAGATAAATTACTTTGTGGTTTTATTGAGACAGCTCTGTTCTCCATTAAGGGCTCTTTTCCAAGTATATCATCATCGTTTTGTTGTACGTCCAGCTCTAGAGGGAAGAGGTCCGGGTCATCCTGAAGATCACCCTTGAGATTGAGAACACTGGCTTCACGCCTAGACGTGATCATCTCCTTCAGACGGTTGAGCTCTATACGGAGGTCTTCTTCAAGGGATCCTTTCATAGAAACATCCTGGCCATACGACCAGGGGCCTTTTGACTTGCGTGTCTTTACCATATGGCCATCCCCGTTACCTAACACGGAGCTGCTGTATCTCCTCTTTTTGCCACAGTTCATAGATCCCGAACTAGTTTCAGAGATTTCTTCCTTCACGTCATGGATGAGCTTTTTGACGTGGATAAGGTCGTTTGAAAGTTTCCTCTCGGCTCCATGGTCTCGAAATAGCTTGACTTTACAGTAACTGATTTCCGAGTAATTGGTCCCAGGTATCTCGGGAGGCGATAAAATGGCCTCAGTTTTGGTACAAAGCCTAAGCGGAACTCCCTTGACTCCCTTAGAGTAGCTGAAGCTGGTGGATACAAAATTGAATCGAACATATATAGCACATTCAAGTGGACCGCTGGTTCTGCGAGGAGTCCATATCACGGAAAATCCGTCAAGGTTGTTACGTTCCAGCTGAACTTGTCGATAGCGCGGCTTCCCCTCGTCACCCTGGTTATGGTCGACATGTTCAACAGCAAGAGGCGTACTATCACCTTGATATGTCCCGTTTGCGCTACGGCCTTCTTGCCATAGTTTCCAATAGCTCGCCGGTTTGAGACGCTGCTTTTCTTCCTCAAAAGTTATCCGTATGGTTGTACGATACTTTAAAGGATAGTAATCAAAGTTCGATGCACCAGTATCCGTTATAGTCAAAGTGTATATCTGGCCTTTGTTAAGATAGGTAGTGGGTATATCATCTGGGCATTGTACCATTGCGGTAGCAGCATGCAATATGGAATGAAACCGGAAACTGCAAGGTAGAAATATCCTAGCAGATTAGCCTGTTTGGTACATAGGTTCATGGAGATCAAGCAATATTCTAGGCTACCCGCAATATACTTACTTGTCACCAAAATCACAATCATCTATAGGACTTTCAGATCCTCGACAATAATCAGACGTAGTCCCTGGAGCTCCATAGCGAGATTGTAGGTTATACGCCGCATTTGGAAAATGGCCCAAAGGGCCTAGACTGGGTAATTCTTGGAGCAGTGCCTCGGGTGCATCGCTGGGTTGCTTCTCGGTAGCGCCCATAGGTTGTCCTATGCCATAGGATATAGGCAGCTGTTGTGAAGTAATCGAGTCACCAAAAGGTTTGGAGAACACAGATGGGTGGACGGACGAAGTGCATATGGCATCTTTTGAATTAAGAGAATTGATTGCCACTGCCTGAGTTAAAAGATCCATCGGATGATTTTGATCAGACGGCACTGCATCGGGTGTTTTGCAGGAAGTACATGATGGGGATATATTGGTGAAGGCCGAGAAGGGAATCAAATCGTCAGGGTACACGATGGGTTGAGTCGATTCCAATTGATCGACCTGAGGGTTTGAGGTTTCAGTATAGACACCCGAGACATCTGGCCTGCTTTGGGGGATTCCATTAGCCCGTAACTAGTTAACTAACACACGCTGCATTTGACATGAGGGCATTCAGGGATCTCGCGGATAGAAAATCCAATGCAACTAACCTCTGGAATGGCAATTGTTTAATAAAAGGGTCAGGTATAGACAATTTCGTGAAGTGTTTTGAAGAATTATTCTTGAAATTCGCACTCGCATTAGGGTAGTTTTGTCTGAAATTGGTGTATAAAGCCTCATCCGGCTTTTGTGAGTTTCTCCTGTAGAAACGTCAGAAACATCCAATATCCTGATAGAGCATGGATAACTCTTCAAAAGACACATGCCGACTTCTTAACATGACGCCGTTGAATGCTGAAAATACCTCTAAACTTCTAATACGAGCAGAAGAAGCAGAGGTTCAAGATCAATTAATGAGCAGTAGGGGTGTTATCACGAATTGACTTACTATATAAAGAGTGGGACAAGCCATTGACGACGATATGACATATAGGGTAAACGGTATAGACAAGCAACAATCATCGTATGACGGAATCTAGCCCCGTAGCTTTCCCCAAGGGTGCGAGGTGTCTATCCATTAACCAACTTGCTCCGTAATTTGATGCATCCACGCAAATTGATCCACAAACATGAAGCATACCAGAGGATGGATCTGCGCTGGGTTGCAGAAACATTGCGTCACTAACAAAACAATTGTGTATATATATACATCCAACCTTGCTTCTGATTGGAGCGATGCATCCCCTTGAAATGGATTGTAGTTAATGGTCATTCAACCGTTAACTACTTCTACGAATCATTCTTTCAAGATATGAGCGTCATTTGACGGGTGCTGTACATGCCGAAAGTACCCGGATCTCGAAAGCACTCCTTCTTGAGTGACCAACTTGAGGAAAGAGAATAAGAAATAACTGACCCCGAATGGCTGATTGAATAACATTCAGGGGGATACATCGGAAAGCAAGGCTCCAACATTAGGATTATTTTGATAAACACATATTAGATGACGAAAGATTAGGAACACTCCAAACGCCCATTATTTCATGGTTGTGGTCTGGGGATCGGGGCGGGGGTCAGAAGGCATGTCGCTGTTTCAAAGAGCGGGATCTGGGGATAGTTAGATGAGACCGACGGAGGAAGATTCTTCGTTCCTACGAAAGGGGAAGCGACATGCTCTTGCAATGAGGGAGCTCAGCTTCGAGTTTCTCCATTTCCCTATTCTTCATTAATATACTAGAGCTGTTGCTTTACCCAATAAATATGGACTAAATATTAGACTCACTCCATCTGCTTCCCTGGGATAGCTTACCGCTGGGTGCTCCTCACGATATTTTGCATATCCGTTTCTGAGGTGTTATTCACAAGCGTGGTAAATAGCGAGAGCTCTTCTCCAGCGGAGTTGTGGATTAAACTCTCAGGTACTCCGTATATTGATATTAGTAATGCACCTCTTCGCGGCAGTGATATAAATAGATAGTTACGACCCGTATTCCTCAGGCTGATACTATGTGCGCATGCTCTAACTAATAGGCTTGCCAACCAACAGATTTTATTGATCTATTGACCATTCGTTGCTATCTCCCAAGACCAGATACTCAATGTTAGAACGATCAGAGAGTGAAGATCAGTTAGGCGAACACCAATATGAGATGGGAAGTTTGTGTGACACGGCGAGTATCGGTCCACATGGATCGAAGGGATCCGTGGACTCTGGATATTTCATAAACCGAGAAGGGGGCGGAGATAGGTTCGGATATACAGCTCCGTAAGGTATAACTTTGTTCGATAACGTCACATCTGATCAACAATAGCAAAGCGGAACTTGAGGTTGGAGAACCAGTCTCGGAATAAGGGTCATTGACTATGAAGAGCCAATTGCTATTTATGGCTGCAAGTATATGTGATACACAGTACGCTAATGATATGCAGGGTACTTCAAGCAGTCGCTGTCAGACAGCAAAGAAGTAGCCTTATTTGACAAACATATCCTTAGTGGAGCGTATATGTGGAGGTTGGCTAACCAGTCATATATGGTGACTGGTGATGGCCTCGGCAGCACAACAAGCCTGTGCAACGCAGCCTATGGTTCTGTTGGAGCCCATGGTGGGATGCCTCTTTGTTGCAAGTTGTTCATTCCGTTGTAGCGGCCTGGAGGTCTATTTTGAAACAAACTGGAACCAGGGGAACCTTGAATGTCAACTTGGCGAGAAGTTTGATATCCAGGCTCAGGCAATAAACAATCCTACTGGCGAATTGGAGCAGACCAGGGCGTCGCGCATCCTTGTCGATATCACAGCTACTGGTAACGTCAAAGCCCCCTGGCAAGGGCGGCCCGAGCTCTTACTAGAGACCCTGATATCCCAATGTGGAACCAGGTGAAGGTACGGAGTGTGTGTAGGTATAAATTAAGACGATGCCGTGCATGCGCCATGACGTGAAGTTGCGCAAGTTCAAGGCAAAAAACAAGGCTTAAGCGGGCAGCCTCAGCTTGGCGCCAGCAATAGGATGACTAACACCAACTTCTTGGCAATACTTGGCTTGTTACCGCACTTTGGCTAGTCTTGTTTAGGTCTAGACTCTTGGCTTCCGTCTTGGCGCACCGCTTCACGGCCCTTGGGAACCCCGCATTCCACGTGGACAAGGCGCTTCTATCTATCTTTGCCATCTCTGGCGATGGCGCCGGAGTTCATCCAAAATAGACACATGTGGCAACATATCATTTCATAAGCGGTATATTATTCTATAGCGATCTAGCACTCCCTTTTTCGAAGCTCTCCTCATGCTCAATTAAGTGGAGCAGTATCTTCTAGAATCCCTCTTAGATAACGCAAAATTAAAACGCCTGCAGGTCTCCCTAGAGAAACATGACTTCATGTGTAAGAAATACTTAAAAAGGGTTGGAAAGGCATTCAAAAGCTGTTTTAAATGGCTCGGGCAAGAACTAGCCATCTCCATAATTATTACGTATGTATGACTTCATACTAATAATCAATAGTAATTGATTGGCCCTCAGTGATCGGGCATACCATTTTACCTCAACTCCTCTAGATACATGCGTTATTTTTGTTGCCTCGCTTTTTAGGTACAAAAGGCCAGCAAGCATCGCGCTTCTTAAGGCTCACTTAGGTCAATTTAACAGCACAATTTGTCTTGAGTGAAGGAAGACCATATAGAAGAAGATCACGTTTCTAAATATGCCTCAGTACAGACAAGGACAGAATGTGCGCTACAAGCCTGTTGGTGGTACGCATCGCAGAAGTTTCTCCCTTGTCATGCCAAGATAAACGCTGACCTTGAACGCGTAGGCCCTGATTCAAACACGTCAGAGAGCATCGGCTGTATTATGTCCGTCCTGACTGAACCAGGAACTCAGGCAGGCCGCAATGTTGATGCTAGCAAATCCAACCCCCGTTATGAGGTGAGATATGGCCTAAAGGTAATTTATAAAGGTAAATTGCTAATGGTGCATAGGTGGAGAATCAAAACACTGGGAAGTCGACCACTATCTATGAGGCGAACATCTTGGAATCTGTTTAAATGGCAGTTAATATGATACCATAGTAAGCTCACAATGTATACGACAACTTCAAAAGCTTAGTTAGTACCTTAAAAATCAAGTATTCCACCGCAATAATTTTAAGACTTTGTTCCTCTGACCATTTTAGTAGAGCACTAATTACATCATTTCACTTTCACTTATCAATGCCAATATGCCTATATGTCCTAGCATGCGGTATTAGGAAGTCACCATAGTGATCTCTTGGATGAAATCTCTATTTCTATAGATACCACATCTATTGAAGATGCTCCGTCAGTTCGAACTCATTACATAGTCAAGCGAGATGACCAACCTAGCTTATTTTGCTACTCATCAGAGCAAAGCAGGCACAACTAGAGGAGACGGACAAAAAAACCACAACTAAAGGCTCAATTTCTCATACACTGATAAGACTGAGTTTCTATCGAACAGGGGGTTGAAGCCTCATGACCGACCTCTGAGGCGGGAACTGAACGGGAGAGAGGGCAATCGCAGAGACAAACTGGGATTAGGATCATCTACACCTTGTGAGGGCTGTTAAGATGGAGAGAAAAAGTGGCATGAATATTCATAGGAGTAAACGTAGGGTCTTCCACAGTTAGGGATACCTGGATGCAGACTTAATGAAGAAATATATAATCTCCAGTGCATACAAAGGATATTAGGTAGCCAAATATTACTTCTTGCGGTTACGTCGGTGAATGTAAAAACACAGTGTCTGCTCCTGGAAACATTGCGCGCATTGAGGGTAATTCTGGTCGCACTCTATGTTGCTGTGCTTGCAGGCTGTGCAGGGAAAATGCGGCCGTGGAATAATATTATCCGCGACTGGCGGGTCTCGCTCTAGAGAAATAACCATTAGAATTGTGAATACAATATACCAGTCTCGCCAAAATATACCGTGGGTATTCGGCGCTTGAGCGACAGGATACTCCGCTTTGGAATGTACCCCCGCAACTCCTAACCAGTTTTGAATGAACTCGAGCATATTCTCCTTCAAACCAAAGAAGCAAACCACACAAGCCGTATCGATTCTCTTAGAGGTGGAGCAGAGACTGATCTTATACTATCTGGTAGACAATTTAAGATACGGTGGGCTTGGAGCAAGTAATTATGACGTTGCGGCTCTAGCAATGAGTTTCAGGCAAACAATCTTATTTCAAAATCAATCCAACTTTTTAGCCTTTATATACCTTACTTTTCCAAGTCTGGGGTGGAATTATATTATCCATAAGGGTGTCAGGTAAAGCCATTTACTGAGCAATGAGCCACAAACAACGGGTGACATCATACCTATCAATAGCTCTTATGTCGTCTCCGTAGAGTAGAACATAGCTGTAGAGCGTAGGAAAATACTGCTGGCATTAGTTGCACTAGCATCAAAGCGGATATCAATATGAGATGCGTAGCTTATAGTTGAATTTCGAAACCCGCGGTGATAGTTATTCGATATGACGTACTAACATATTGTTTTGTCATTCTCTGGGTCCCTAAGACAATATGCCGCCTTGAGGTTTATATGACTGATAACCTTGCCCATCTCACTCGTATAGATCCGTACTCATGTCTACAGTCTCGGGGTTGATTTCACACTTAGTCACCTCCCTCGTTTTGTAGTCATCTGTCCAACTGTTTGATGGCTTGATCTACAATCTAGATAGGGACGCATCAGTCGTATTTGTCTGCTATTCATTCCTCCTTCTAGCCATGTGAAATTCACCCTTTGGAAAAATGCTTGCAAGCGCCGCAACCTATTCAACCCAGTCTGCTCTGTTATCATCGTCTCAACCCCATTAATCCATATAAATCCGTATCTTAGCAACATTCCAACTCTTCTAGAAATGTCGATAATCTTCTTATTATCCTCCGAGATATCATTTGTTTCATCCTCGAATGCGGTCTAGAATGTGGCTTCAAGAGCATTACTAGAACTATAGTAATGCCAACCATCCCTATCCGAATATCCAAGAAGAGTTTCCAACCCCCACAAGGATAACCCACACGGTTGGACACTTGCTTCTGCCCAGTCTACAACTCCAGTTAAATGTCTAGTCTTCTCATCCACCAGTAGATTCATTTCATTTATATCACCATGGCATAATGCCCAGCGAAAATCACTACCAAAGAGGACACCCAATTGCGTCCGGCAAAATACAATTGCTTCTGTGAGGTAGGGTGGCATTGACTTGGCAAGTTGTTCGAGTTTCCGGTCATATTCATTCTGTAGTTGTATCTCTGGTCGCGGCTGTGCTTTGATCCATGATGCAGCGAAAAACCTAACACCGATATAAGCTTCTATGCAAAGACCATAAGCTTATGGGTACAAACATACCTTGCAACCTACTACTGTATTCACCTGCTTCTCGATATCAAACCTGAGGGTAGCGTAGGCAACACCGGGCAACCTTTCAATAATATAGACAAATATATTATCTCCTATCACCCCGGATGCCTGGGTCTTTGCTGCTAATGTGCCATGTATACTCTTCGCGAGCGAAGTTATGTTAAGGTCGAGCTGTGACTTGATAGACCGAAATTGTATGATTGTAGGTTCTGGCCCTGCAAGCAGTATATAGATAAACTGCCCCTGGATCGGTACACATTCGATCGGCTCACCAAGGAGGCTAATCGCAAGTGAATCGCACTGTTGGCGTGTCGTAGGGGCATGCTCCTTAAAGAATAGAGCAATTTCAGAGTCAAGATCATACCTACGGGGTTTCATTGTGTAGGGCAGATGCAATAGGTATGATATAGTTGCCGCTCTCACCCATCCTTTTTGGCAGTTAACTAGTCAATTTGTCCTTCCAGCTCTCGAAGTCGCTGCCTGCTGGATTATTGTTGGTCCGGGTTCATCCGTGGATGGATTACAAGGTAGGTAGGTATATCTAAGCCCCATATTGCCAGTTAGCCCCATAAAGGTCCCATTAGTATCATGGCCTGTTTATGATAGCGTTAGAGCGATAGGGATAGAGGGGCACTAACTTAACAATTACTTGTTGTGCCTTGGGTTAAGATATAGATTACCGGATAATTCTTAAATATCGTTCAGGTCATAGTTGGCAGCCCTGTATATAGGCGAGAATCGGTATTGGGTGTGTATCTCAAAAGCTACATATTGTAAAATTTATATAGGAAGCCTGTTTGTAAGCTCCTACCCCAGCAGAAGATTAACCGTTCGAACGAGTGTGATTTGCCCCTGTAGCTTTACGGATCGATCCTTCATCGACCGAAGGCCATGATGATTCTCTTGCATAGCCGACCCTGACATCAGAGTACGTCGCTACAACCGCCCTGTCGCAGGGCACCGGCCTTGGTGTCTGATACGTGTAAGGATTGAAACCAGAGCTCTTATTTGCCGGCCTCCCGAAACACATATTGGTTGGTGAATCTAGATTTTCTGTATTCACTAACGTCGAAAAGGCTTGGATGAGCCCACAGGTGGCTGGGGGTCACACATGGAGTGAAAACTGATACTCGTAAGGGTTGTTGGAGAGAGCTGACTTAATTTATTCATTGTCAGCATTTTGAGCATCTCGTCTTCCCCCCGTGGTATGAGTGCTAGTGTACTCCGTATAGATGTCAAAAACCCTCTTGTGGGGGGGTGGTTTTGTGTATACCTCTGCGCTTTGATCAAAGAAATAAAAAGGGAACTATGAGCACATTTTATAGCCTCCCAAAGGCAGAAAGGTCTTCTGTCTTGGCTCCTTATATAACTTGTAGTCTTCTTGTATTGGTACGCGGCCCAGTAAGTTATCAATATTCATGAACACAGCAGTAGAAGGAGTTTCACGCCTCGTGTTAGGTATCATTTCCTGAGTATGTATAGTAAATGCATAACAACTGGCGTCATAGTATCAAAGAAACTCGGGCTTATTTGCCACTCATGAATGTACCAAAAGAGGGGTATTCATTGGACCAGGACACAGGACGGTATATGCAGTGGGCGAATGATTCATGATTTGAGCCAGTAGATAGGCTCGAGACAGATGCTATAAGACCGCGGAATAAATGCACCAAGTTCAATAAGCAGACAGCTAATAAGCGAGCTACACTTCTCGCCTACACAAAGGGTTAGAAAGGGGTGATGGTCTGTAGCTATCTTGTATTGGATGCTTACCACGTCATTCCAGACTTTTCCAAGGCCGGAGTACTGATGGCGTTCCTGTCGCCAAAGGGGTTGTCAATATCATCGTCTTCTGACTGTTCACTCTCGCTTTCGAGGTCCTTGTATTTGTCGACCTGTAAACTAGGCACCGTCTGCGGCCGTGGTGGCTTGGGAGGAGGCGAGTTTTGGGTGTTCGCGTGAGATAGCTCAGATTCATCCTCACTATCGCTATCATCGTCCACACTCTTATCCATGACTTCAAATGCCAGAAGGGCGTTGATCACCTCTTCATGGCTGTGGATCAAGATGCCGATGTAATTCTCGTCGTCGAGTTTATGGATGAACCTCAAGAGCTCAGCCCGCAGCGCTTTACATTCTCCAACACGGCACATGACCTCTTTATCCTCACTGACCCGCATCTTTTCGCGGTTGACAAGCTTCATGGCATTTTCTAGACGGGTTATGGCGAAGCCTACTTCTGCAACAGTGCGCTTTATGCGAGCAACATCCTCATCAGAGGCTTTGGGTTTGGTTTTACCAACATAATCCGCAGTTACCGCCTTTTTTTCATGTTTCTGTTTGGATTTCTTCTTTGAATCAAAAGGTGGTTTTGAGTGTGAGGATTGTGAGGGTATGGTTGAGCTTAACGGCTTGGATGGGCCATCACCTGCTACTATGGAAACGGAGTGACCCAACGGTCCGTCGGCCGGTTCTTTGAGAATCTTCGAGTGCTCACGGCCAGCAGGCTTCTTTCGTTTAGGAAGCTGTTTATAAAGCGCGGTAATTCTCTCCATCCCAGCAACTCCCTTGTATGACACGGCCCACTGAGCGTATAGCTGCTGGCACTTGTCCTTGACTGCCGGATCTGTGTGGGGATCGGTCGCGATAACCCTCAGTCGTTCGAGAAGCGGTTCATCAGCAAAGCTTCTGTGAAATCTCTCTCCAGCATTTTGTATAAGGAAGTCTAGAATCGTCAAGGCTCTTAATTGGCTGTGTACATTGCCATATTTCCTGCAAAGCTATGTGTTAGCGATTGTTCAGGTATCATGGTGTATGAGAGAGGGGGGGAGCAGCACGCACAACTTTTTCCTCAGAGCACGACTAGCTTCCGTGGGTCCGCTGGCCTGTAGTCGGATGACCTCGATCAGGTCTATGATGCCACTCCAGTCGTCTACTTCATACTGTTCGGCCGTGAGACTATCTATCTGTACTGTGATGGCAGTATAGGGCTTTTTCTAATCCAGATCCAGTACACGGGTCAGTATCTGCTCACTCCAATAGATGTTTCGTATTATCACATGTATATCCCCGCATCTTGCACGTCCAGGGGATAGGCACACCACTTCGTGCATCGCATTCAGGAGCAAAAGAAAGTGGCAACGGCAACAAGGGAAGGGGATGAAGCAGAAGGGGCTATGTATACCGAGCCTGAGAACATGACTATCTAGGTATACTGCGCTGTGCTGGGCTTGCTAGGTCAGTGCGGGGGCTTCCGTCGTGGGGGGTTATAGCGAAGACAAGGTCTTTGTAGCGTCGCATAGAGTAGGTGGTTTGTTTCCCCTGTCTGGAGAGGGAGAAAGAGAGAAAGCTGGACAGGGCGTATAACTAGTATCACGAAAAGAAACTGAGGGTGAAGTTAGAAAGGAAACGTCATGTATACTTCTTGAAGCCGTTTTTCTTCTCTCCTTCTTGTTTCCCTTTTTGGCTCTGGAAGTTGCATGACGTCTTGGTGACTAAAATATTACTCATCATTATGAGTCAGATGTTATTAATATACTGACTAATAACTGACTAAGAGCCCAGGCCTTTGAGCTTATTAAGCGCCAGTAATAGCCGATGCCAAGACCCGGGCTCGGCAGTAAAGCAGAAACACAAAGGGAAAGCCGAGCCGAGGCGGGCCGGGACGGTCAAGATAGAGTAAGCAAGAAAGTAAGCTTAAGTAAACCGTGTTTCATGTTTTGAAGGACGATAAGACAGAAGAGAGAAGAGTATAAAAGGCCGCCGATGTCTACGATCTCCCCGCCACCCTCGTCTACACCGTTACATACAGAAATAAGAAGAAGAAGATTATATCCTCTGTTTATCTCTCTGCTCTCGCTGGCTGTGGCATTGCTCGCTATCAGAACTACGACTACGAATACTGCTGTCACCCGCTCCGCGTTCCCCTCTCTTCTATCTTGCTACCGTCACCACCGCAGCAACAACACCATGTCTTCCACTCCTTCATATCGCCAGGAGCTGCGAGTAGCAGAGTTGGCTGTCCAGCGGGCATCTCTCCTCACCCAGAAGGTCGCTCAACTGAAGGCTAAAGGCACCCTATCCAAGGATGATACCTCCCCAGTGACCATTGGCGACTTTGGAGCCCAGGCCCTCATCATCCAGGCTATCAAGAAGAACTTCCCCGACGATGAGATTGTGGCCGAGGAGGAAGCTAGCTCGCTTAGAGAAAATAAAGCTCTTAGCAGCCAGATCTGGGATCTCGTCAAGGAGACCCGCCTCAACGATTCAGAGAGCGATTGGCTCGTTGGTGGCCAGATGGCCAGTGAGGAGGTCTTCCTCGACACTCTCGACAGTGGTAAGAGTGCAGGTGGTCCCAAGGGAAGGATATGGGCCCTTGACCCCATCGACGGCACCAAGGGCTTCCTCCGTGGCGAACAGTACGCCGTCTGCCTTGGCCTGATTGTCGACGGTGACCTCAAAGTTGGAGCCATTGGATGCCCTAACCTCCCCGTTTCTGACGCTGCTCTCACTCCCACGGTTGGCCAGTCCGGCTCCGAGGGCATTGAGACCGGCGTGCTCTTTGGTACTATCAAGGGTGCTGGCTCTACCAGCCGCAAGCTTGGCGATGGCGCCCTCCTCCCCAGCAAGCCGATCTCAATGAGGCCTGTTCCTAACATTGCCGATGCCTGCTTCTGCGAAAGTGTCGAGTCCGGCCACTCTGCTCAGGGTGATAACGCCGAGGTCGCCAAGCTTCTCGGCATCACCAATCCAAGTATCCGTCTTGACTCCCAAGCCAAGTACTGCTCCATCGCCAGAGGAGCCGGAGATATCTACCTCCGTCTACCCACCCGCCCCGACTATCAGGAGAAGATCTGGGACCATGCTGCTGGAGACTTGCTTGTACGTGAGGCTGGTGGCCAGGTCACCGATATCCATGGCAAGAGGCTCGACTTCAGCATCGGCCGCACTCTCAAGGAAAACAAAGGTGTAGTTGCCGCTCCTGCTACCATCCACGCCCAGGTCATCGAGGCTGTTACGGCCATGTACGCTGCCAAGACTAAGGCATAAACTATCTCTCCCTCCCTTTATTTTTCTTACACCCCCCTTCTCATTACGAGCAAGCAGGTTATAAAAATGATATTCGATGGATCTGGTGAGAATAGTCTTATCATCAGAGCTCGGTGTGTGCCAAGCCATGCCGATGAACATGAAACGAACTGCAAAATTGTATATAAATACACATAACGCTGAATGACATATATTGTACAATGAAATAAAGCACACACATGAACAATTACATAGATCTGATCTTGGTCTACTTGATCTTCTTCGCCTTTAGTTTGATGGTTTCTCCGTTGACGAAAATTCCTTTGCCTTTATAAGGCTCTGGAGGCCTCCATTTTCTGATATCAGCCGCAAACTGTGTCACTACCTCCTTGTCGATACTCTCGAGAAGCAATGTCGTTGGCTGAGTCGTACGAGCCTTTACCCCCTTGGGAATGCCGAGCTCAACAGGGTGTGCGAATCCGACTTTTAGGGAAACGAATTGCTGCCCAGGATACTCAGGGGTGAGAGTTACCGCAGTCGATTCGACAGACACACGGAAACCGACTCCCACCAGCTTCAAGATGCATATATGACCCTCAGAAACGCCCAGAATATAATTTCGTAGATGCTGTCGAATGGTCCCTATAACATCACGTATTAGCAAAATAGTTCTTGACAGTAAAAACTGAATGTGAACCATGGTATTGTCATCCTCATACCCCACATAGCAGCCTGGTGTTTGATGGTCGAATCCCGCACTTCAAACGAAGCCTTTCTCGACTCGGGGTCATATTTTAACGTCGAAAATGGTGGTATCTTTAAGGTCAATGAACCTGTATGTGATTAACCGCAAGTTAGCTCTAGAACGTCCAACATGTACTCCAGATCATATTTTCTTACCCAGGGGCCCAGTTATATCGACCGCAGTAACAGGTGTATATTCTGCCTTCACTTTCGACGTAGTCTTATCCAGAGGAAGGTCGCGAAATTTTAGTGACACCTCTGGCGGCACTGCAATAGGTGCAGCGCCGATTCGCGATTGTCTTGGTGCCGATGTAGAGAATGATAGAGCTTGCGGTCTCGAAAACGTAGGTAGTAGGAAAGACGGCGGCGTTACTGGAGTTGAAGCTGCATAGGGTCGAGATGACCCCCGTAGGAACTGTCTGCAGCAGTTTCTGGATGTTGCCAACGCCATGTCGACAGGTTGTATCTGTCTGTTCAATTTTCTTTGCTGTCTTTTGCATCTTAAAACATTTTTTTTCCAAAGGTTGGTTGGTTCCTTTAGTTATATATCACGTGATCAAACTTTCTTCCAACCACCACATCAAGATCAACATTCACAGCTTCACATTTCAACATCCTACACGTCTTTATTTATATAGATACCTGTCATTAACTTCACTATACCCTCTGACCTGATCAATCTTCCAACAGCTTACTCTCAGACTTTGCTGTCAAGATTGATTCTTTTCTTCAATTATATTTGGCAAAGCCTGTTTAAGCAAAGAGGCCCTCTCTACGTTGCAGCTTGCCCTTATGCCCCTTTTAGAAGCTCGAATTCTATCTTATCATTCTAGTTTGATCCGATTTCACTTACTAACTCTAGAGCAGTCCTAAAAATGGAATCTAGAGTTACAAATTCGCGAGTAGTTCGCGTCCTCTCTCTTTTTCTATACCTTCAAGTATTCACATCCACAGTAGGCATCGTTGCTGGGTTCAAATTGTCGTCCTTTCGAGGTAAACCAGCTTCAGCCAGCCTTGAATTCCCAAACCCCGATAAATTGTCAAATGACAACTCCAGAGCCACAATTGATCTACCCCTGTTTATACATACAAGCCCAACGGAACAAAATAGTTTCTTCGCAGAGGCCCTTCAACTACTAAATTCAATGCAGCATGCGCCGTCTTGTAATCAGCGTGCCGTGGCGAGTTTGGTAACATCATGTCAAGCTTTGTCACCAGGGGAAAGTGAGAGGGGGCAACATGCTGTCTCAGACTTGGACCATGTCAAATCCTTATATGCAGCTAGGTTGGCTATATGTGAGGTAACCGGTGCAGGTGCTGCTATTCCAGACAAATGTTCAACTATATTCCCTGCTGGTGATAACTGGAAATCTAAATACAAGGAAAGAACCCAGGACCCCCAAAATACGGATGAAGAAATGATACAAGAGCCACTACTGGCATCATGTCTCAGATCTCTAGAATCTAAGCCACAGTGGTGGACAAGCTATAGCAATAGCCGGCAAAATGCAGCTTTGATGTGTCATGCCGTCCGGTTTGACATTGAAAAGGAAGAGCTGCTTAACCACCACAAAAGGCTCACTAAAGTCACATCTGGATTAAACGGACACTTGAACCGCTCTCTGGAAAATGCTTATACCCAAGCCAAACAACAGCATGCATTTATTCAAGCTATTGATGGTTTGCGTCTAAAGTTACTACGTGATCTACGTAGAGATAGCGCCAGCATTCATAGCCGGTTTACACAGCTTATGACAAGTGCAACAGATATGTTCCAGGATGCAAATAGAGAACTTCAGGGTTTCGTTAAGCCCGCCTTAACAGAAACAGCTGCTCTTTCTAAGGTATTTTTTGCCCGAGCCAGGATGGTGCAGTTTGTCTACTCAGTTACCAAGCCAGTTCTAACTGAAAATAGCAAATTCAATTTTCTATTCTCTCAGCTCGAGAGGTAAAACGAGTTTTAAACGAAGTCCTTATTAAAGGGGCGAAGAGAAACTCAGACTTGATCGCGGCAGAGCAAACTGCCCTCCAAACGAACGCTCACCTCATAACAGACATTCATCACTCGCTTGAAGAGGCGAAAAAGGCTAGAATACGTTTCATAGCTGAAGACTTAAACCAGCTTCATGTGTCGATGGTAGGGTTTTCCAATTCTGCATATTTTACCAGCTAACAGCCCATAGCATTCTTTAAGTGAACTAGTTTCGAATGTGACTCAAAGACATACCTTCCTTGATGATGTATGGGTATAACTCTACCTCAATAGGCTCGACACAAGTTTTTGCTAACAACTTGTTTTGTAGCGCGTTAAACATTTTAACGCCGTGTTCAGTAACTTTGAACAGAAAGCTTCGATTCTACAAGACATGATGATTGCGCAAATTATGAATCAGACTCGTCTTCAACAGTCATTTCACGAGGATCTCCGTGCCACTCAGACACTTCTACAAAACATCACAAACGCTGCTATATATCTACAAGCTACTATTGGAGATGCCCAGTCGGCTTTCAATACGTTTAGTTTATGGAGAGGGCCACTAGTATCTATAGTATGGTGGTCATGGTGTGCCATGATATCCTGCATTTATGCTATATTTAAAATGAAGCTAATAGTCTACGTTATTTTCATTTGTGGTAAGTATTACCCCCATTATACCGGTAACTTCAGTAAGCTTACGAGCAAGCAGTATGCGCAGTGGTGCTGCTTACTTCTAGAGCTTTTGGGTGGCTTCAGGCCGTGGAGATGCCTTCCCCCAGCATCCTGCGCGAAGCGACGCATGCTGATATAACTTGCTTTGCCCTGGGATTTCTCTTCAGTGCTGCCGCCGTTACTGTTATGGCAATTAAAGAATTCCCTATAAAGGGGAAGACTGCGGTAAATTCAAACCCAGATATGATAGGCCTTCCGTAAACTCTCCCTGTCTGGCAAAGTTTGAACTCCCACAGACAATCCTAGTCCTTATAACAAGCATCTTCTCTTTTTCTTATATTCCGCAATGTACACGCATTTTATATCACTATATTATTATTGCGTTTTATTTACCCTTATGTTGTCAATGCGGTTTGCATGCCAATATCTTTACTGAACGATATCAAGTCCATCCGAATCATTTAAATATACCACACAGCCTTTTTATAACTAGATTTGCTTTATAGTATTAATAGCATTTACCATAATCTCCACATATTTGAGATAAATTATATGTAAGACCAGACTAGTATAATGTATGTAGCGTTCATGAAATTAAATGTAAGAATTCCTAATTGGGATACGAAATGGTGATCTGACTCTCTATCTAGAAGGGTAATTTCATCATTCGTTTACCGCTCTAGGCTTGTTAATTTCCTTCTATAATATTCCATGTAGGCGACATAGTCACAAGTAATGGACGTATCTGCAGCATCTTCCGAGTAATCTCAATAGCTAGCATGCCCAATTCAGAGGGTACCTGGTGAATACTAGACTCAACGTCTATCCCTGATATGGAGTAATGATCATATAAGGTGGCAAGATGTCTCTTCCAAGGTGCCATTCTATGATTGATTTATAGCACTTTCTCATTGAGATGGGTCGGCAAATCGACTTGGCAAGAGGCCTCTAGAAGAGGGGCGCGCTGAAAATTTCACTGTGGCTGGTTTACTCGTGTAGAGAAGGTTTCACTCTTCATTCTCCTGCACTTCATCTCTTCTTTTTGCTAACGACTTTGGTGAACCCGTCTTCGTCAACTTCGGGTTCTTCGCGCTGCTTTGGAGCTGATCGAGGCGCTGGCGCATCTGCCATATCTATATCTTCGTCATCTTCGTCGTCATCATAACCATCATTATCATCGCTGCTGTCATCGTCGCCATTGACTCCAACCCTGTTGATAATGTTGGTCGGTAGCTTGTTACCTCCATTCTGCTCGTCCGCTTTGAATTGCTCCCACATTGCCTCGACCCGGTCAAATTTTCCCTTTTCGATCTCTGCTTTCAATTCACAAATCTGGTCCGCGATTATGCTCACACTTCCATCGTCCACAACCACGTCGAATTCATCCGTCATCACCTGTATCAAAACGTCTTCTAGGTCCTGTGCATCTGTTTCGGGATGAGTGCTGAATAACTCCGCAATAGCACCGCAAAACCAATCGCGTTTACTCTTCGAAGTAGGTCCTCCCCAGGATGATTCCACGGCCAGTGTAAGAGATGGCCATGAATAGAGGGTAAGAGTTATAGCGAGATCAAGCTGGGCAGACGGAGATAGGGGTGCTCTCTCCTCAGATTGAGTTAGAGCCTGCTGAGGTTGTGCGGACTCCATTGACGGAGGGCTATAGACTCTTTACGCTTGGAGTCCTTGGTATAACCAGGTATGAGACAGATAACCACACGATTTCACTCAAACATCCCACCTCGACTTTTTGTTATTTGTTATCTATCGTTGAGAGAAAAAAATATATTACCCTGACACGCTAATCCTAGTTAGGTAAATAAAAGTTTGTTTGTATTATACCATAACCGGAATGGAATATGGTAAAACCGGGGACGAAAAGGTCAGGTGACCTAGCTCGGCCGGTGGACGCTACATCCAAGCTATTTGATATAGGATAAGCTGAAATTTCAACTGAACCCGCAAATTGCACGCAAGTGGCTAGTTATCATGTCTCCTTCTCCTTGGTCCTCCTGGGTAGGGCTACGTGGGAAGCAATTCACTTAAGTATAACATTTCTAGAGCTGGATTCTCCTCAGTTCCATTGTATCTTTCTAACACAAAGCACGCTGGACCCGCCTTACATTCAAGACTTTTATCTCGACAATTAGTGTGCCTTATTACCTATTCGTCACCCACCCGTACACAACAAACTTTGACAGGTGTTCCTAAGCAAAAAGCAGCAACAATAATTCCTGTAGGGACGAGAATTATTGGCGGGTCTGGCAGTCAATACGTTATTGATCGGCTTCTCCAGGAAAAAGAAACTCCAGACATCCGCGTTTACCTAGTTAAGTTTGTTGGCATTCCCCGGTATTTCTACATATATTCTAATAATTTAGCAATGGAACGAGGAAGTTCATAATAAAAAACGTCTATGATTTCGATTACTATCGCAACATTTACCGTCGCCTTTCGGGCTCGCATTGTCTTCGCTTGTTGCATGATACCGTGCCAAACCAGTCAATGTTCATTTACGAGTACCTTACTGATCATCTTCTCAATGTGGCCAAAAAAAATATCCCTATTATAGCTACAAAACGAATCCTTAGAGATGCCTTACGTGGGCTCAAAGGGCTGCATGACCAGGATATTGTCCATACAGGAAAGTGTTCTGGAAGTCTTCTCGTGGAAAAAATTACTCATACTAGTGCTTATAGACATCAAAGCAAATAATATTATGATTGACTGGAAAGAAGAGAATGGAGAAGTAGTTATCACCCGGGTACAACTAGCTGATATCGAGGATAGTGCAATCATACCCCCTAATTGTGATATACTCGGAAAGGCTGTAGGAAACTGGATGTGGCGCAGCCCAGAAGCCCATGTAGAGGCCCGTGTAAATAAGCCCTCTGACATATTCTCCTTTGGAATCGTGGTAAGTTGCTTTGTTTATAATTTCAATATTGGTATATGTTAGTAACTGATATATATCAGTGCATTTGCGCAGTCTTGAAGTATGTTATTTTCGCTGTTGATGCAAAGGAACTTCCGGAGGGCGTGGACATTCATGCAATTGTTCTCCAGCGTCAACTGTCTTACTTTGGGAATGATGAGTCTGTCAATGCATTTTTAAAGCATATTGGCGACAAAAGTCCTTGGTGCACGGTCATTAATATTCTTTGGAATGGATTTGACGAGACCACTCCTCGTGAACCGTTTGCGTTATGGAAGGATGTGGATCCAATATTTAAAGACCTGATTTCTGGGTTAACAGATATTGATCCAAAAAGGAGGCTTACTGCTCAAGCGGCTTTAGATCATCCATGGTTTCAGGGAGCCGATGGTTAAACCCTAGTGTGTTTCCTTGTTGGTTTGACAATTTGATGGGTAGCTGAATATTGACACCCACTCTCTACCCTGAGTCTTTCCTTTTTGTAACTGGATGCCACTCCATAATCCGGGTTTCTTATTTACATGCACCAATTATACAGTGAGTTCCGAAAACGCCAGGCCCACCCCATATCCATCACCAGTCAAACTGTTTTATAACGATATGTATAAAATTCTGGTTCCCTTGCAAAACATTACATCATTTGAGGCCTACTTGCCGCTTGACACGTGATCAGTCGTAGAGCTTGGTCAGCGCTTAGCTATGACATCATCTTGCTTGTTCTTTTTTTTTTTTCTTTCCATCTTCCATCTTCTCTTGTTCAAGTAAACAATCAAGGCAAACTTGAAAAGCTCGAGGGTACACACAACCCGTGGCAGACTTAATACTAAGAGCATGGAATTCCCCCTTCAGAACCTCCGTCTAGGACCATAACTGCTACCCAATGGAGAGATATTCGTGCTTTATCTTCATCTGTTTATACCCAAGTCAATGATCCTTGCTACTACCGTTGGTAGCATACACTGGTGATTTGAAATGCCATTCAATATATTTTCAGTGGCTGCCAATGCCTCCTTTACAACTATTTCGACAGGCATAACTCACGTATGGCCCCTTGAATATGCAAAAACTCACTCATGATAGGCTAATCTGAAACCCTCCGCGCAGTATCTGGGTAAAAAGCCCGTCAAGACCGAGCCAGCAGCTCACTTCTCCTATCATTCGGGCCTCAAGGTTATCCGTCAGTTCCTCGAACACGCGGCGCGCCATACGGTTGAAGAACTGCAGGCTTTTACAGGCCAAAAAGTCCCGCCATCCTACTGGGTCGCAACGGGGAGTGTTATCATTCCCACAAGGTATTTGGAGTCGGCATCGCATTTATTAGTTGCGCAGCTGGGTCTGGAAGGCATATCCCTGGTTGGGGGGAGTAAGTGGTGGCAATGGAGAGACACTGAGGCTGCTCTGGTTGCAGAATGGCTTGAAACCAAGAGAGATTATAACGACCGACGAGCGCGGAACGCCAAATCGAATCGTATTATTCTCTACGTACATGGTGGTGCTTATTTCTTTGGCAGCGTGGATACCCACAGGTATCAATTACAGAGGCATGCTAGGAAATTGAAGGCTCGAGTTTTTGCTCGGTGAGATTTTTCCTCCCCATCATTGAGATAATTGCTAACTTTTGCCCTATCGTAGTAAGTATTTTATTACTTTACTGAAAAGGTCTTTTTCAGCTCATGTTATTAATGATATAAAAACCAGCCCGCTTTCGATTAGCTCCACAGTTCCCATTTCCATGTGGGCTGCACGATTGCCTCGCGGCATACCTCTATCTAATAACTATCCAAAAGCCAGATGAAATAATACTAGCCGGGGATTCTTCTGGCGGTGGCATGGTTATGTCGTAAGTAGTATTCGAAGTAAAAGTGAACTTAGTAGAATTGACAAAATCTAGGATGCTGGTTACCCTCCGAGATCAAAACGTTCCATTGCCTGCTGGAGCTGTTCTTATATCCCCGTGGGTTGATTTGACGCACTCTTTTCCAAGTGTCTCCGGTACTGGAGTGGATGATTATATCCCTATTTGCGGTTTTATGCACCGGCCATCGAAAGTATGGCCGCCGCCAAACTTAGAAGAATATGGGATAGAGTCAACAACTGGTGAAAAGATCCTCAACAAGATAAATTCACCGCCTGTTATGGAAAAAAATTCTAGCCTGGATACCAAAACAATTGAAGATTATTACACTCACCAGGCCCGTGCTGCAGTCGAATCGACTCACGTTGACGAATATTCAACGTCCCAGCTTCCTGGCTCAAGTGGTCACCGCCGCACCGCACAAATGATTGATGAGAATCTCAGAGTTGACATTGATGGCGCAACTGTCGAAATAAAGGACCAAATACACCTATATACTACCAATAAACTGATATCACATCCACTGGTGTCTCCTGTCCTGCAGCCGTCGTTAGGAGGCCTACCACCACTCCTCATCATTTCTGGTGGGGGAGAACTCCTTCGTGATGAGCAGATTTATCTTGCACATAAAGCGGCCAATCCAACAGCATATCCTCCAAGTGACGAGTATCTTGACAGGTATGATCCGGACCGTGAAATTCTATCACGTTATAAACCTACGTATGTCCAACTCCAGGTCTGGAACAACCTTTGCCACGTTGCACCAACTCTCAGCTTTACACGGCCAGCAAAATATATATATAGAGCTGTTGCCCAGTTTTCTGCCTGGGCACTGTCGAGGGCACAGGAGTCGAGTATCGATATACCGGAATCTTCCCCGGCATCATCAGGCGAGTTGCTCCTAGGGGTTGGTGAAGAGGGGCGGTTAAAGAAGCAGAGATCAGAAGCAGCGCAATTCTCAACAATCGGAAAGGCTGGTGATTCAATTCCTCCATTCAAGAACCACATGATTCGCCAGCTTGTTGATTCTGAAGGCAATCTATTCCCACTTCCCGATGAGCACGAGCTCTCGGCTCTTCAAGTCCCACGCAACCATATTGGGGTACCAAAACCCACGCCAGTTCGCCGGTGGCTTGCAGCTAAAGGAGAATGGGACACTAAATTTGCCAAAGAGAAAGACAGGCTGCAAAATGAACGACTAACACATATTCCACTTGGTATTGATGATATAGCACCTGGAGATTGCCCGCCACCTAGCTCCCTGGCTGCGCAACGGGGGGTTACCGTGAGCAAAGTAAGGCAACCAGCCCAGAAAAGTATTCTACTTTCTCTGTGGAACAAACTTGGGGCTATTCACGACGTCAAAGCTGTGCAAAAGGAAAAGAAAGAACACGTTGAGGAGAAGTTTCCTACTTTATGGCGTGGAGGTGTCAATAGCGAACAGGAAGATACAGTCAACATAACACGTCCAAGTGGGCAAAGCAACGCTAAAGTTGTTACTGATATTGGCCAATCTAACGAGTCTCAACGTGATTTTACCATAAGGTCCGGCAAAACAACCCCAGATGCATCTGTACCACAGATTTGGAGATCCCATAGTAGCGAAGAGTTTGAAAGGACACGTTCTACACCCCGTCGCACCAGTGGCTCTTCCCAGCTGGCTGACAATAATGAAGGCCATAGTGAAGATAATAGGCCTGCTACCGAGCCACCGCTAGATGAAGCAAGTATACGAACAGTCCGGCACTCGAAGGGAGTCATTAGCCCTTCTCCAGTCTTATCTGACATCATGGCCAGCTATAACCAGTCACTTGAATCTACTTCACTACCCGGACCATACGACTTTGAGTACATATCAACAGTTAACAAGGCCGGCCCAAACACAAAACCAATGCCGCGGGAGGAAACTATCCTTAAAGACACAAATGAGGCTACCCAGCCTCTAGCCGGTAGTAGTGGAAAGCGCATGAACCTAATGAGGTTTGATTTTGAGTCTGCGACGCGCAGCAATTTGCATTTAGAACCAGAACCATTTCCTACTTTGTCGCCCGGGGCTAATATCGATGCTTTGGATAACCAAAGCGGGTATTCCAGCCATTACAGCCAGCAATCATCCAGATAAAGTCGGTATACAAGACAGTAACCGCTCATAAATGGGAGGGCGCGGAGAGGGTTGAAGCCATCAAGCTACCAATATCTGCATACCATATAAGTGCTATATGCTGAAATATTGCCACCCAATATGCTTATTTCGAGGCTCTCGAGTGTCTTTTTTTTCATTATTGTCATATACCCTTCCGCTATATACTTCTAATTCATTCCATATTTCCTGTAGTAACATTATCTCTTGCCTAAATAAAGAAACGTGGATAATATACATTTAGGTTGGACTAGCTCTTCCAACGTACAACATTTCTGTGGGATATATTGAGGCTGACTATTATGGACCTTTGTACGAGTGGGCTCAGATATAAACCCTAGCGGGCACGCTCAAGATGAGCCCGCTTCAAAGAGTGCCAATGTGTCACCATTGAAGCCCAATTTTCTCTGCAACTTTTTTGGAGACGTCCAAGAATGCGTTCCGGCGAGGACTTCTATCGTCTCCCTCCTCTGCAACGACAGTAGGCATGCCTTTATCCGCATCTTCACACACTCGAGCATCAAGGGGAATATCTCCGAGAAAATCGATCCCAAGGCGGTTACAGGCTGCAACTACGCCGGTATTGTCGCCGTGGCTGTGCTCGTACCCGTCATTAATTGCGGTGTGGCTACCCGATCGAGAAAATATCTTCGTTTGTTTTCCACAGTGCGGACAGGCAAAATAAGCCATGTTCCGTATCATCCCTAGTACAGGAACGTTCATCTTTTCAAATAAGCCGAATCCTCGAACGGCATCACGAAGCGCAATATCTTGAGGCGTCGACACGATGACAGCACCGTCAACCACAACCTCCTGGTTGATGGTAAGCTGCACATCTCCTGTCCCCGGGGGAAGGTCCAATATGAGCACATCCAGAGGGCCCCAGGATACGGAATGAAGAAGCTGGTTCATTGCCTTGCTGACCATGAGACCTCTCCAGGATATGGGAGTTGTGTCCATAAGGGGCGAGTTCGGGTCGTCAGTCAAGTGCCTAGTATCTTCAGGTGGCGGTGGGAGCAAGTATCCCATAGACATCGATTTCAGACCATAATTGGTCAGAGGAATAAGGCAGTTATCTGAAGGAATGGAGAGAAAAAAGAAGAAAGCGCTTAGCTTCTTGCTCCGGCGATAAGGTCAGGGAGAACACATACTCCCGTCAAGGCGCGGCTCCCCAGATAGGTTTAAGAGAGTAGGTATGGATGGGCCAAATATGTCTGTATCAAGGATACCAGTTCGAAATCCTCGTCTTGCCAGGGAGAGCGCAATGTTTACTATTCAATGTTAGCTGCAATGGACGGCAACAAAAAGAAAATGACATAGATATCTCACCTGCAATTGTAGATTTTCCAACCCCTCCTTTGGCTGATGAAACAGCAACGACTTTGTTAACATCCTTTATTTTCCGTTTCTGAGGTAGCCCCCGTCGGCTTTGAAATGTTGGTGGTGTCCCAGATCTAGGCAGGCCCTTAGCAGTCGTTAGCTGAGAGCTCCAAGGATGGAATCAATATAAAGGGCTTACTAGTGGGTTCTCATGCTGAAGCTGCCGACAGGTAGAAAATAATGCCCGTTGCATGATAATCGCAGCTCAATTGTGAAGCTGTGGTTCTTTTTCTCATCATCTCAGCTTCAACTACGAAGTTTTGATTTTGGGTTTTGTGAGCATCGGCAAAACTTGCTTCGATTGCGGTGAAACTTCAAAAGGAAATTTTTCGCGGTCAGTTTTCGATGTTGATAAAAAAAATCAAAAAGATAAAAAATCAACAACTTCAAGTTCGATTGACAAACAAATTGCTACGACGATTTATTCATCATGTCTGTGAAGAAAGGACGAAGTAAATCTTTGGCTGAGCAAATTGCCGAGCTTGAGGATCCAACACCAAAAGGTATTATCCAATCGCTTATTATTTATTGAGCAACGGACTGACATTGAATTGCTAGATTTTGACCCAGAGGATCAGAGCGATGGCGCACAGGATAGTGATGGCGAAAGCGTTGGTGATGGCAATAACTTGGAAACTGGGAGAGAGCATTATGAAGCCGTGAGGTATGCTGACGACCTTGTTGAATGCAGGATTATCCCCCTACTGACATGCTGGCAGTGAGAGTAAGCTGCGAAAACCAGCTCAGGTTGAGCTAGGACGCGAGTATGCTGGATCACGGGTTAGTCGAAAAGAGTTGAATGGATATAACTCCGGCGCATCTGGCTCTTCTGAGGAGGACGACTGCGATAGCGCAGGTTCCGGCACTGATGAAGGGATGTCAGTTAGCGAAGATGATGAGGACGACAGCATGAGCGAAGGATCTGAGATGGATGATATGGAATCAGATCAAGACAATGAGTCCGGCCCCGACATTACTGATGAAGATGAGATCGAAGACATGACAACAAAGAGGTCGAAAACACAGCCCCAGAACTCAGGTGATAAGGACCGGGAAGAGCTGAGACGGTTAATGGCCACTGGAGACAAGATCGTGACCGCATCTATATCACAAGCCGCCAAAGCTGACGCTATCAAGGGAATCGCTGTTAAGCAACAGAGGCAGACATTCGACAGCTTGTTAAATTCCCGGATTAAGCTGCAGAAGGGTCTTACTGCGTTGAATGGCAAATTTACTCCCTCAAACGAGAATGAAGAACTGATCAAATCTGCCGAGGCCGCTGCATTGTCGCTATGGAATACTTTGGGCGACCTCCGACAGACCCTCTCCGACCACCACGCTGCAGGCAGCGCTAACCCAATGAAACGTAAGAGACCTACACATGCGACGGTAGAGACAAGTTCAACAGACCTATGGAACCAGATGTGTGAGCTTGAGGCGCAATCACTCTCCCACCGGCGTGGAGTGCTTGATAAATGGTCCCGAAAAGTTCGCGGATCACGTAGCAGCACGCTATCTAACAACAACCGAGGAAAGCTATTAAACACCGGATCGGAAGAGCAGAGCATGACCACTGTTCTAGAGGCATATGTGGCAAAGGAGAGTAAAAATGATAAGCCGGCTACTTCTGCAGGGGGGCCCGGTCCCGGAGTAGTCTACGATGATACGGCATTCTACCAGTCACTTCTCCGCGACCTGGTCGAGCAGCGAATGTCGACATCTGCTAACGGTGGTGCTATCTTTGATTCGATCTCGGCTCAGCTACCCCGGAGTGGGACTACGAATCCTATTAGTGGAATGCGCAAGGATAAGGTGAAGCGGGCCGTGGATACAAAGGCCTCCAAGGGGCGAAAGATGAAGTATACGGTTCATGAGAAGTTACAGAACTTCATGGCTCCAGAAGACCGCGGTTCATGGTCTAATCGGGCTAGAGACGAGTTCTTTGCTTCATTGCTGGGGCGAAGCGTAGGGAACGTGTTGGGCGAAGATGTGGACAGTGGTAACGACAGCGAGTCTGCAGACGATGATGCCGAAGAAGGGTTAAAGTTGTTTAGAAGTTAGCCATATTACCTGCGGATTAAATGGAATCTCAAAAGGATTGACCCAGGAGTAACGTTAAATATATTACTATATATAGTGAAAGATGCATGTACAGTCATTATAATTACCAACATGAGTGAGCGCTTAGAGCGGGTCATTTTGAAGACAATATGTGATTGATTCTTTTGGCCAGCTTCCCGAGCGCCATGGAAAATGCAGTGCCCGTCGCGGTCCTGCGCTGTGACCAAGTTAGTCAGGGACTTTTGTATGAAAAATCATGGGAGGAGGCATAGTCAGGGGTATGGAAAAGAAATGCAGAAGAGGTTATAATCCTAGTAAACGTCATCTTCCTGGCTATAAGTGTGACGACTGCGGGTGGGATCCTTTCGCATCTGTTGCCCAGAGCCAGTGAAGCCAACTAAAAATAAAGAACCAAATTAGTAATATGAACAAGTGAGAAAATAGAGGTAGAATAATACCTCTTGCATTGATTCCTTCTGGAGTTCTGAACATAGACTCCTTCTTAATCTTGCCGAATTTACTCTTGTTGGTAAAGTCCTGCCATTTGTTCTTGCCAGCCTCCAGGTCCTTCTTGCGTTTGACTTTTCGAGCAGCTTTTGACGGTCGTGCAGAGCTATCACCCTGGTTAGCCACGTTTCTTGCCTGGCTGGCGAGGTCGGGGTTGATATCCGCAGCGGCCGAGATGACACTAGACTCGGCACCTATGTTTGGGCTACTGCCGTTGGTGTAGTCATTGCCGGAAGTCGTGCTGTTGATAATGTGTGGGGCTACAATGCCTGGTGACGAGGATAGATTATCAGCTTTTCGCTTTTTCGAGTCAGTAGCAGAGAGAGGGCGGATATCCTTTGACGACAAGGTCTCGATGGTGGAATATGACTTGAATGAGACAATGTAGATAGGGTTTGTGGCCGAGCCAGTCAGAGAAGTGATGCGGGCAGGGTAGAATGCGCCGTCACCCGATGTCCAGCGAGCAAGGACGTTGTCATTAACACAAAAGGACGCAGGCTGAGTCTGCTCTTCTTGCGGTAGGGTAGCGTCTACGACGGTGGTTGGTGCTGGCGGTGCTGGTTTGCGGTATCCAGCCTGGTACGCGGGGTGATTCTCTTTGGACCACTTCTCCTTCGCCGGCTCGGGGACTGTCTGAGGCTCGGCTGGAGGTCGCAGCTCGTCGATGGATTGTTTGGTAAGGGCTATGAGTTCTTCCAGCTCTGTTTTTAGACTCTGCAGCTCTGTGTTATCTGGGTCGACCTGCAAACTGGACTGTACCGTTTCGAGCTAGAGGACGGTCAGAACCTTGAACTGAGTGGAACAAGAGGGCCAGCTGATACCTGTAGCATAAACTCTTTCACTTCCGCCTCCATAGAAGTTATGTCCGCCATGATTGCGATGGATGCTGGTCCGATGAAGGGATAGGTAAATAGCACGTAAATACGGTTGTTTCAAGCGAAAAAGACTCAGCGAATGGAAGCCTAAAGATGAAGAGGCGCCGTAACCTGTAAATATACCTCAATCTTGTCTTCTTACTCTTGATTTTTATGTCTCGATCTTCTTTTGATCTTCTTTTGGTGTTTTTTCAACTTTTCGATGAAGTTGAGGGACGGGTCACGTGTTGATGATATAAGCGCTGATATAGCAAATTACGTAATCAGGCAAGCGCCGCTTGAAGATCAATTTGTGGATTTGTAAGCAGCAGCCTTTCTGTTAAAGCGGCGGGCGATCTCCCTCCTTTCGGCGTTTTCGGGCCAAAGAAGCAATTTTCAACTACAACTTTCGACTTTTCAGCTTCAAGTTCAGTTTCAGCTTTCTGCCTCATCTCTCCTATTCTCGCTTGATATATGCGCGTTTACTGCGTACAATTGATGGGTTTTCCTGTCTTACAGCTACTGCTCTTTTGGTCTGCGTGTGTCATTCACTTTTGGCTGCCTTTAGCCGCGGCTCCAGTGTTACAGGTCAAATACGAGCCCCGTTCTCGGCCAGCCCACCAACCCAGCCAGCACCCTTCAGTTTAAGCCACTGTCATTATTCTGAACCGTCTGTCCATACAGAAAGTCCTAGGAGCTGATCGTTCGCCTGTTCGCCCGTTCCACCGTCTTCTGCACGCTTCGAACCCGTAACGCACCATCCTGGCCCTTGTCCCAGCCCTTGTCCCAGTTGGTTGTGCCGCAATTTGGCCGGCAGCTTATTCCCCCTTCGATCGCTGACTTCCACCGTTTTTCTCAAGCCTAACCGTTTGCCTGGCCTCATCTCATCAGTGTCATCATCATCCTGCAAGGCCGAGAGGGGGAGAAAAAAAAGGAGGACACTATCAGACACCGTCAGACATAGTCAGACACCCGAACGATACTCTCTCTCCTATCCACTTTGATTTCTATTTTAACCACCCCACGCTTGTCCACGGGAACTTTTTCCTCCGATCTACCTGCAAGGCAGAGAGTAGAGAGAGGTCTTTGACCTGCCCACTCGACCAAAATATCAATCTGCCTAGATTTTACTCCCCCTCTCATCTCATTCGAAATGGCAGATTTTGACCCTTCCTTCCAGCGAAACCTCTATCTCTCCCCAGACCAGCAGGACCTACTCCTGGCTGCCCTCTCCTCCAACAATCAACCTACGAAGCTGGGCCATCAGTCCAGTCTCGGCTCCGCCAACGGTTCGTCCGGTAACGAGATCTTTGACTCTCCCCCTCAGGACATACCAGGCTCTGGCCAACTCAGCTTTGATCCAGATGACAGCCCATTTCTGGGGCTTGACCTTGATACCGAATTTGATGTCTCAGATCATGCCTTGATTGGAGATCTTCCCAGCGTGGAGACGGCTGAGCAGCAACCTGAGCATCGCGAGAAGAGGAAGAGTCTAGACGGGCAAGAGGGCGCAGATACAGGCAAGAAGCGGAAGGAGAATGAAGAGAAGGTCGCGAAAAAGCCAGGCAGAAAACCGTTGACATCAGAGCCTACAACCGTAAGAGTCACCCTTTCTCCCTTATACGCTAGCCTCTGACTAAAATATTCTGGTCATAGAAACGCAAAGCCCAGAATCGTGCCGCCCAGAGAGCGTTCCGTGATCGCAAGGAGAAACACCTCAAAGATCTCGAGACCAAAGTAGCGGATCTCGAACGCGCCTCTCAGAATGCAAACCAAGAGAACACACTGCTTCGTGCCCATGTCCAACGCCTCCAGGTAGAATTGAAGGAATATCGCAAACGCCTATCATGGATTAGCAGCGGTAATAGTTTTTCCCCTACTAATAGCTTGCTAAACCAAGCCAGGAGCCTTCACGCTCAATCTCGCTTGAACAATGACTTTTCCTTTGATTTCCCCAAGTTTGGCGACCTTCCTGGAGCGCATATGAATAATATCGGATCCCTGGCAAAGGGAACTGCCAATGCTCGCAGCCAGACCCACCCAGCCCTTGGTATCAAAGCGGCTGGCCACATTAGAACTACGTCACAGCTCACGCCCACCAATGGCCACACATTCAGATCAAATGGTCTATCTTCCACCCCAAATCAGGGTGTTGACACTTTTGCTGGCACGCATAATTCGCACGCATTCGAAACCCCATCCGCCGCTACATTTTCCGAGTCACCCTCGGCTTCCTCGGAATCGCAGCATATATCATCAATATGCACGTCTCCCGAGTCTAGCCTTACGTCGCCTACCATTGCCCAGAAAAGCGATTCCGTCAGCTCTGCACAGGGCAACGGCCAGATAAAAAAGCACAGCCCTTCTCAGTGCGAACTAAAATTTTATGAAAGACTAGGTGAAGCATGTGGTTGCGTGGATAACCCCATCCCCGCTGCTCTGGCAAAGAAGTCCAGCCAGGGGGCAGCCAACTCTAAGAGTCCAGAAATGGTGGCTAGTACTGTTACTCCTACGAACTCGTCACCAAATGTCACTAATTCTACCAGTAAAAACACAAATAATACCCAACCAGCTTCCAATCCTAATGCCATTGATATCACAAGCACATCTTCCAACTTACTCTCAGATCCATCCATTCCTAGTTTCGACTGGCTCGCCCAGCAAAATGGTGGCCACTTCGATCCTGTCCTATTCGGCGATTATCGCGACCCGCAGGATGCTGTACTCTCCCAGGAGTTTAGTGGTTTCTTCGACGACGCTTTCCCCCTACCTGATCTGGGTAACGTAGGGGCCTTTGATGCCGCAACTCCTGGTTCCACAAATAAAACGCCTGGAAAGACTGACCCCCCGGTAACCACGGTAGATATTGATGACGATGAGGAGGTAGTGCCTGGTGAAGACAGGTCACAGATGCTTTCGTGCACCAAGATATGGTCAGTCTCTGAAATTGATTGCTTAAAGGATTCCTCTAACCCCGTATCTAGGGATCGCCTACAACGGTTGGAGAAGTTCCGCAACGGCGAAATCGATGTCGATAACCTTTGCACGCAGCTACGTACTAAGGCTCGCTGCTCCGAGGGGGGTGTGGTCATTGACCAAAAAGATGTGGATGATATCATGACCAGGGCGACCTGATGTGTATTCTCACCGGCCATTACTTACATGCCAGGTTTCTTATACCCTCATTGAATAGATTCCAGACACTCTCGACTGAGCATCGTTCTCTGCTTATATGGCAGTTTACCGCTTCTTCCGCTGCTGTGCGATGTTCATATGTTCTTATCCTTGTTGAATGCTTGTTTGACTGGACTCTGGTTACCACCAAGGGCGATGGTCAACGTACCATTTCACTCCTGGTTTATTTCCTCCAGGAACAAAATAATCTCTATCTGATCTATTCTTTCGCTAGTGACGTTTCTCCCCCATTGGACTGCTACAACCGGTATATTTCTCTGCGCCTGTCTTTTTTCTTTTCTTTTATTTGCTTTTTTTTTTTTTTTTTTTTGAAATATGTATATTCCTTCATCTACAGGAGACGGGCAGTCAGGTGTAACAGCAGAAATGGCGGCAACGTTTGTCTGTATGCTATACTACAAGCCCATTTATCTAAAACACATTAGGCGCGAGTGGCCCAGATGGATGGACCGGTGTACGGATGGGCTTTATATTTACCTAGCGTCTGTAGCGTTCAGTTGTTTTTAATAAAGAAGAATCTCTAACTCTAGACATGAACATCCATCTCTTATGATTCGACTTATCCTGTACATGAATATTCGATCACCCTCAGACAAGCAGCCGCTGTTGTGAATCAACTACCAAATTGTTTTCTAGGACGATATTGGGCCATCTATAGTCTATTGGTTTGATTGTTGCATTTTGTTCAACCTACGTTGCTAATGAAGGCTACAAGCAACATTACAAACCAGTCAAACCTATATTATAATCATCCTTTCCCCCAGCCAGGTTATAGGAATTGATACGGAAGGTAAAAGGTGAATAGCTATAGCCCCTTAAAAATGGTCAAAAGATAGCTTGAATGCTCTGGAAGGTAGTATACAAGCAAGTGACCCAAGACCAAGATAACTTACTGCTCAGAGATGAAGATAGAGCCTGATCAACATATTGAACACATGTGAGGTAGCTGAGGATAGAGGACACGGGCGGAGGCAGGAAGAATAGGGCTACGTTAAGGGTGACGTGAAGGGTTATGATAATAGGGGAATAAGGAGAAGAAGAGAGAAGACGTTTATGGAACAGATTTTATTTAGAAAAACAGGGGGTAATAGAATTCGAATAGTAAGAGAGAGAAGGTATTTGGGGGTAGGGGGGGTGATAAAGGGCAGGTATGGAGGCGACAGAGAGAAGATAATAAAAGGCTGAGGCACGTCGCCCGAGAGTGTGTACGGAATACGGATATTTAGACAGTTGGTGTCAGGGGCGAATTAAATCATGACTCGGCCGTCGAGGTGGTAGGCTTGTCTCCTGGGGCTGGAGTAGATGCTGGAGAGCTCGATTCGCCGGCTGCTCCCTTGTTGAATCCCATGCCTCGTCCACCACGTCCTGATCCCCTTCCGCCTCGCTCACCGCCACGTCCGCCCCGTCCGCGTCCTCCAAATCCTCCACGGCCTCTGCCGCCTTCGCCGTCACTAGCTGCGCTTCCACTCTGGTATCACTGCGTGTGTTTGCCGACGAGCCACCGCGGCTGCTCGCCTGCCATGTTCCGGCATTCCCTTGGCCCTCACGGTTGGAGGTGCGGTGGGAGGCTCGGTCCTCGAAAACCTTGATGTTGGGTTTCCGGTTAGGTCCAGCAGGGCTGGGTTTCTTGTGCTCCAGTGGCTGCCTCTCAAGAGCAAGCTTGGAGTCTTCTGGTGTAGCAAAGGTAACTACGAAGTTGAATTTCCCCCATTTTTCGATCTTAATGATCTTTGCTCGGTCCTCTTCTGGCCATAGCTGTCGGACTGCTTCCTCGGTCTCTACGTTAGAGATGAATAGGCCGCTGGTTAGTTTCTTGTCCGTAGTAGAGCTGGCTGATTTTGAGTCTCCCTGTCCTGGCGTTTGGGCTGAACCGTTGGCTTCGGATGCTGGCGTCTCTGCGGATACAGCAGGCGGTGCGGGAGTTCCTGCGAGAGGTGTTACCGGCTTGGGGGTAGCTGGTTTCTCCTTGTTGGCGCCAATGGGGGCTGGTGAGGCAGTAGATTTAGGTGGCAGAGGCGACTGCTGCTTCCCTGGATGAGCTTGTTGTGTAGAAGGGACTTGGGGAGGATACTGGTTGCCAGTGCTGCGTGGTGGTTGCGCTGGTATCTGTCCAAATTGTGGTGGTGCGACGCGGGTCTGTGGAGGGCCACCCGGTCCTCCAGATGCGCTTCCCGTGGCACTAGGCGGGTTGGCGAGTGCTGGAGGAGCTGCACCGGTCTGTGGAGCGCTAGTCGTGGTGGGTTTGCCGCCACGGTGAGAGAAATTGAACCCCTGGGCGCGCATTTCAGTACCAATTCGGCCTCCCTCGATATCAAGAACAAGGTATCCAAACGCAGCATCAGCCAAGTTGAAGTTCCACATGTTCTTGAAAGCGCTTTCATCCACCTGGCCGCCCGCGTTGCTCGCCGTGACGGGGCCGCCGAACGGGTTGCCACCGTTTGCAATGCTGGGCATCTTCTGGACGATGTCCAGCGCGTTATCCAATAAAGTTTTTTGCGCTTCGTTTGCGTTTATGGCCGACTCAACCTCACCACGGACGGTGTCCCAGACGTCGTTGAAGGATGCCTTGGACGCAGCCAGTTTTCCACGGTAGTGGTCGAGGGTTGGGTTCACGCTGAACTCATTGTAAGAGCTTCCGTATCTGAAATGCAGACCCGCAGAGATAGAGAAATCAGCCTTAAGGGTGACGGATAGCTGGTTCAGCATCCCCTCTCGGGCAGGGGAAGCGTGAGTGACGAAGATACGGGTTTCTGCGGGGTCGTAGACGCGGTTTGCAGTATCGACCAGCTCTCCCATCTGCAGCAGGGTCGTCCACATCGTGCCCTGTCCACCAGCAATCGTCGTCTTGCCCTCACCATTGTCGAAAAGCTTATGCATAACAATTGCACCGCCGAGACCGAGCAGACGAAGCTTGACCCCACCAATATCTAGTAGCCTCGAATTTGCTTCGTCGATGATGTGTAGCTTATCGACCTTGTACTCGCCAGAACGGAACTTCTCCAGCACGCGGACGTCCTCGCAGGCACCCCACACGGTATAGACTGGCACGTCGAGGGCCATCTGCTTGTTAAGGAGGAGGGGTAGTTCGGAGAGTGGAAGCTGTTCGGGGCTAAATCGCTGCTTGATGGACTGCTGAGGGGGGACCTGGGCCACGCTGCGTTTAATAGGCTCTGGGAGCAGAGGAGAGTATTGTGCAACATGTTTGAGGGTCCTAATATAGAAGGAAAAAGAACAAGATCAGTACTGAAGGATCAATAAGATCAAACCAGGACATTCTCACTTGTCTGCAATCCTCTCGAGGGAACTATCATCATAAAAGCCAAAGTCACCCGTGTGGATGATATGGTCAGCCCGAGCTTGTTTGGCGAGTTCGTTTAACGACTTGAGGTTCCCTGCAGTATTTCATGTCAGAATAGTAAAGCCACCAGAGCATTTGATATCCCATATTCTCGTAGTTGCATGCACAGTGTTTGATGTATGTATATATATACGGGGACCTCACCTCGTACGTCAGCGATACAGAGGATCCTCACAGCTCCATTTTGAATAATCCTGCCGTTGTTTGGTAGCAGCGGCGTCGCACCAGGAGTTGGTCCAACAGTGGAGCCGTTCGGCAGGGTATAAGTAGTGTTCGTAAACGCGTGAGGAGGATGGGGCTATAGCAGAGAAGAGAGAGATTTCCGGTCAGCTCAACAGCTCAGCGAAGGGGGGCGGAGTAGCAGGACGTTGGCAGACTTACTGAAGCCATGGATGACAAGTTGATTAAGGGTTTCTTTTCGTTTCTTAAAGAGAACAAGCAAGCAGCTTGACCAGCTTCTCGACAGCTAGAAGATACAGAAATAAGAGAGAGAGAGAGGAAAAGAGAGAAGAAGAAGAAGAGCTTCGAGGCTTTGGTTGTTGATTTATTTTTCTGGTGATGCAAAAAGAGCGAAATTTGATGTTAACTAAATAGTTTTTTTTTCCTTTAGAGATGCTATTTTTTTCTTCTTGTTGTTGTCTCAACGCAAGCAAAACTTCCTCTTCTTCCTTTTTTCCTTCTTCTCTTCTTCTCCTTCCTTTTATTATTTTTATTTATTTTTATTTATTTTATTCTCTTTTTTTTCTTCTTCGTTTTTTTCTTCTTTCTTTTTCCCCTTTTTGGACACATCATGTGACTAGCTTAGTCATCGATAACTTGATGTTTTTTTTTTTTTATTTTGAAGCAAAAGAATAAGAAAAAGAAGAAGAAACAGCAAACAAAGGAAAAGAATGAAAAGATGGCTTGAAGACCAGATATCGTGTTGATGTTGATATATCGGATTCGTCTGTCTTCCTTATTATCTATACTACAGACACAGCGAGACTTGTTCCTGGTCGGGCCTTGATTCATCGATATGACGTAGCTTGAGGCCAGCCACCACCACGACCACAACACACACATATACACACACGTATATATCCACAGCAAACGAGCCAGACGAAGGTCGAGATATATATATATACACACTAGATATACTCCAAGACGGCGGCTGAGACGCTGCCTTACGCTCTTCTCGCCTGGCGGATCGTGATCTTGGGCTCCTGTGATGCGGTCCTCCCCATTCGTCGCTGCGCTGGCGACCTTTGGCTGTGTCAGTCTCTCCCTTGCAGCCCAGACGGAAGTCCATGAGGCCGGCCGGTGTGCTATCAGAGGCAACTGTGGGAAGCAGTCCTTCTTTGGCGGTGAGTTGCCTTGTCCTGATAACGGACTGGCCCATGAGCCAGACCAGAGGGTTCGACAAAAGCTGGTGGACCTCTGCGGGAAGAAGTGGGAAGATGGACCGGTTTGCTGCAAGGAGGAGCAGGTATATACGCCCTTTACAATATGCAGCTTTAGAGAATGGAGCCACGCTTATGAGTCCTTATACTAGATAAATGCGCTGTCGTCGAATTTGAAGCTGGCGTCGGGAGTCATATCGTCCTGTCCTGCCTGCAAGGAGAACTTCTTCAACCTGTTCTGTACCTTCACTTGCTCGCCCAACCAGTCCCTCTTCATCAACGTTACCAATGTGGCCGAGGTGAACGGCAAGCTGTTGGTCACGGAGCTGGACAACCTGTGGTCAGAGGAGTACCAGAGCAACTTTTACGACAGCTGCAAGAATGTCAAGAACGGAGCTTCGGGTGGGAAGGCCATGGACTTCATCGGCGGGGGAGCAAAGAACTACACCCAGTTCCTCAAGTTTTTGGGCGACAAGAAGCTTCTCGGCAGCCCGTTCCAGATAAACTTCCGTACCGAGCCCCGGCTGCCAGACGACCAGAGCATGAAGCCGGTGCCGGACGAAACGAGGTCGTGTGCTGACAAGGATGAGGTTTACCGTTGCTCCTGTATCGACTGCCCCGATGTCTGTGCAGAGCTGCCGGCAATCAAGGGAGAACATCACTGCCGCGTAGGCAACCTGCCATGCCTCACTTTTGCCGCAGTGCTGGTGTACTCCATCTCCCTGATGCTCATCGTTGTGCTGGCGATTGCGCGATCAGCCTTCAAGCGGCACCGAGCGCGCAATATCGAACGTGTTCGTCTTCTCCAGGATGATGCTCCCAGTGACGAGGACGACGAGGGCGAGGTCATCGAGGAGACTCGAATCCCCCAACCGTACCGTCTCAACCATGTGCTGGGCAACATCTTTAACCGGTTAGGTGGCATATGTGCAAGATTCCCAGGCTTAACAATCACCTCGACCATTGTGATCTCACTGTTGCTCAGTCTCGGCTGGCTTCGTTTTGCGGTAGAGACAGACCCCGTCAGACTATGGGTAAGCCCGACTTCGGCGGCTGCACAGGAAAAGGAGTATTACGATTCCAACTTTGAACCCTTCTACCGCATCGAGCAAGTCTTTGTCGTCAAGGATGTGGACACTGGGGAGCCAGAGCCTGTCTTGAATTATGAAACGCTGGGATGGTGGTTTGATGTAGAGAACCGCGTGCGCCGGATGATCTCGTTGAAAAAACGGTTAACACTAGATGATGTGTGTTTCAATCCAACCGGACATGCCTGTGTTGTCCAGTCGCTTTCTGGATATTTCGGAGGATCGTTCGCCAACGTTAACCCGGACACATGGCAGTCCCATCTACAGCATTGCGCTCAGTCTCCTGGCTCCCGGGATTGTCTTCCCGACTTCCAACAGCCTCTAGCACCGGAGATGGTCCTGGGGGGGTTCAATGACACCACAAACATCTTGGACGCTCGCTCTCTCATCATCACCTGGGTGGTCAACAATTTCGAACAAGGATCAGACAAGGAAGCCCGAGCAATGGATTGGGAGGAGACCCTGAAGCAGGTCCTTCAGGTTGTGCAGGAAGAGGCTTTCGAGCGTGGCCTCCGTGTCTCATTCAGTACCGAGATATCGTTAGAGCAGGAATTGAACAAGTCCACCAACACTGATGCCAGGATCGTCGTCATCAGCTATGTCATCATGTTTGTTTATGCATCTCTTGCCCTAGGTTCTACAGCTATCAGCTGGCAGTCACTTGTTCACAATCCTAGCCACGTCCTCGTACAGTCCAAATTCTCACTGGGGATCGTTGGTATTATCATTGTGTTGATGTCGGTGTCAGCGTCCGTCGGCCTCTTCTCCGCCTTTGGCGTCAAGGTCACCCTTATAATCGCCGAAGTGATACCATTCTTGGTCCTTGCTGTGGGAGTTGACAACATTTTCCTCATTGTCCACGAATTCGAGCGCGTTAATCTAAGCCACCCAGACGATGAGATTGACGAGCGCATTGCCAGAGCTCTCGGAAGGATAGGCCCAAGTATACTGCTTTCGGCCACAACCGAGACCATTGCCTTTGCGTTGGGTGTCTTTGTTGGAATGCCTGCCGTGAAGAATTTTGCAGCCTATGCTGCTGGCGCCGTGCTCATCAACGCCTTGCTCCAAGTGACAATGTTCGTCTCTATCCTAGCCTTGAACCAGAAACGTGTGGAAAGCCTCCGGGTGGATTGTGTGCCATGCATTGCTGTCCGAAAGGCAGCCAGTACCGGGATTGCTGGCGAGGATAGGCCTGATATTAGTGAGAGCCTGCTGCAGCGGTTCATCCGTACGGTATATGCCACCAGACTACTTGGAAAAAATGTTAAGATTGGCGTGGTAGTAGTCTTTCTGGGGCTTTTCACAGCCGGACTGGGCCTGATTCCCATGGTGAAATTAGGACTGGACCAGCGGATTGCCATTCCAAACGGCTCATACTTGATACCATACTTTAATGACCTATCTGAATACCTCAGTGTTGGTCCTCCGGTCTACTTTGTGACGAGAGACGTCAACATCACCACCAGGGAGCATCAACAGCAAATTTGTGGCCGAATTACCACTTGCGACGAATTCTCCCTCGGCTTCGTCTTGGAGCAAGAGTCTAAACGGCCAAATGTCTCCTACATCTCAGGCTCCACGGCAAACTGGATGGATGACTTCTTCTACTGGCTTAACCCGCAGCAGGACTGCTGCAAGGAGGGCGGCAAGACGTGCTTTGAAAACCGCCAACCCAGCTGGAATATCTCTCTCTATGGCATGCCAGAGGGGGCCGAGTTCATCCACTATGCAGAGAAATGGATCAACTCTCCAACGACGGAGGACTGCCCGCTTGGCGGCAAGGCGCCGTACAGCAACGCGCTCGTCCTCGACCAAAACCGCATCATGACCAACGCGAGCAGCTTCCGGACGGCACATACTCCCTTACGCACCCAGGCTGACTTTATCAACGCGTATGCTTCTGCCCGCCGCATCGCCAACGATATCTCGACCAACCACGGCATTGACGTGTTCCCTTACTCCAAATTCTACATCTTCTTCGACCAGTATGCATCCATCGTCCAGCTTACTGGCACCCTGCTAGGATCTGCGGTTGCCGTCATCTTTGTCATCACATCCGCTCTCCTTGGATCCCTCCTCACTGGTGGAGTGGTGACCCTAACGGTCGTGATGATCGTGGTAGATATCATCGGCGCCATGGCCGTGGTGGGGGTCTCCCTAAATGCCATCTCACTTGTAAACCTGGTCATCTGCGTTGGAATCAGCGTCGAATTCTGCGCACACATTGCTCGCGCATTCATGTTCCCTTCCGCCTCGTTACTGGAGAAGGCACCACTGAAGTTCCGCCATCGCTCGGCCAGGTCATGGGCAGCGCTGGTCAACGTTGGCGGCAGCGTCCTCAGCGGCATCACCATCACCAAGCTGGTGGGAATATGTGTCCTCGCCTTCACCCGGAGTAAGATCTTTGAGATATATTATTTCCGCGTCTGGCTTGCCCTCGTCATCTTTGCAGCTGCCCACGCTCTCATCTTCTTGCCCGTTGCCCTGAGCTTCGTTGGAGGAGACGGTAAGCATATCATAATTCACTTTATCTTCTAATTCTAAGGCTAACTCTTCCCCTAGGCTATGCTGATTCTCACGCCGTCGGTGGGCTGGAGGAAGACCTGGCAGCCCGCGGATACAGGTCGTTGCTACTGGACGACGACTACTACGACTCAGACGACGAGGAACTCTAGCCTCGTTTTTCTTATCTTTACTACCTGCTCTACTGCTCCGGCTGTATATCTGTACCTTTTTTTTTTTATTTTTTATTTTTTTTTTGGATTTATTTGGTATTGGTTATAGACCTGCGAGTCTTGTACGCTTGGAGTTTTATCTACATTTTTGGGCATTGGAAGTGAGTACGGAGCAGACGACCTTAATCCTATCGTACATATACCAATTATACCATCTATTAAGACTATTATCATTTCGTCTTCTTCCGTTCAAATAATCTTGGATATCAAATTTGAATAATATAAATTTGGCGGGGAGAAATAAAGAAGCACATGATTTCGCCTTTTTTTCCCCACCTCGAAAATAATAAAAAAAAAAGTCGACCAAATTTTTTTCTTCTTCTTCAACTTCATCTTCGTCTTTTGATATCTCGAAGAACGCCGTCTTTTCGTCTCAGAGACAGCAGTTCTCGGTTACCGTCTTGGTCAGCGTGTTCGGTTTAGTATAGATTCTCTTCCAGCGAGGCCATTGAGAGTCGCATTCACGATCTACAGCCACACAGCAGTGTGCAAAGGCTCGCCGTGAGCCCGTCAGTCAAGATGGATCAAGCACAATTCCTGCAGCAATTGCAGATTATATTAAATCGTAAGTCTCTAGAATTTGTCTTCTCTAATATTGATAGTATATGTTGATTATCGATATCGATATCTCGCTTATTACTAACGTGTTTCATAGCAAGCCAAGGAAATGTCAAGGAAGCCACAAACACACTGCAAAAGGTGTACTATAAAAACCCGGAAGCTCTCCTTTTCCTCATCCAGATTGCTACCACACACCACGACGCCGACCTGAGACAGCTGGCTGCCGTCGAGGCTCGATCTCTTGCCATTAAGCTGTGGGCCAAGGTCCCGGCTGCTCAGAAACCACAGGTCCGCGAGCAGCTTCTTCGCTCGACTCTGGGTGAAAGCTCTGCTCTGGTCCGCCATGCCTGCGCTAGAGTCATCTCTGCCATTGCAGAGATCGACTTGACTGACGGTGAGTGGGCGGATTTGCCGCAGTTTCTGCTCAATGCCTCAACCAGCTCGAAGCAGGAGGAGCGTGCTGTAGGAACGTACATCCTCTTCGCCATCCTCGAGACACTCGGTGAGGGCTTCCAAGAGAAGTTTATGGACCTCTTTGCCCTGTTCGAAAAGACGATTCGTGATCCAGAGAGCGCAGAGGTTCGCATCAACACCCTCCTTGCCCTCAGCAAGCTTGCCGTCCATCTCGACTCGGATGAAGATGAAAAGCCAGTCCAGGCATTCCAGCAGATCTTCCCAGCCATGGTCGACGTCCTCAAGGATACCATCGACCAAGGCGACGATGCCCGCATAATGCAGGCCTTCGAGGTCTACCAGACTCTCCTGGGCTGCGATCCAGAGCTCCTTAACCCCCATCTCAAGGACCTCGTCATCTTCATGAACCAGATCTCCGCCAACACCAAGGCGGACGACGACACCAGAACCCAAGCAATCAGCTTCCTCATGCAGGCCGTCAGCTACCGAAAGATCCGCATCCAGGGCATGCAGCTCGGAGAACAGCTCACCCGTACATGTCTTGCAATTGCAACCGAGCTGGACAGCCTGGACTCGGACGAGGATGAGATTACGCCTGCACGGTCTGCACTCGGACTTCTGGACATGATGTCTCAGAGTTTTGCCCCCAGCCAAGTTGTCGTCCCGCTCCTCAACGCAGTCGGCCAGTACTTCAACAGCTCCGAAGCAAGCCACCGTCGTGCCGGTATCATGTCTCTCGGCATGTGTATTGATGGAGCGCCGGACTTCATCAGCACCCAGATGAAGGAAATCCTTCCTGTGCTCTTCCGCATGCTGCAGGACCCCGAGCCAAGCGTGCGTCAGGCCTCTCTCGACACCGTCGCCCGGCTTGCCGACGTCCTGCCTGACGACGTCAGCAAAGAGCATGAGACCCTCATGCCACTGCTTCTGAAGAACCTAGCTAGCGCCATGCAAGGCTACAACGGCGAAGAGTCTGGCCCAGCAGTCGACATGATCAAATCCGCACTTAGTGCAACTGATACTGTCGTTGACGGTATGGAAGGCAAGGATGTGGCACCCTACCAAAGCGACCTCGTTCCCTTGTTGCAAAAGTTGTTCAAGCATCCCGACTTCAAAATCAAGGGCCACACTGCCAGTGCACTCGGGTCTGTGGCCTCTTCTGCGGGCGAGGCTTTTCTGCCTTACTTTGACGAGTCCATGCACATTATGCAAGAGTTTGCTACTCTCAAGCACAGCGAGGAGGAACTCGAGCTGCGTGCCAGCGTTATCGATGCCATGGGTGAGATGTCTTCCGGCGCTGGACCGGAGCATTTCAAGAACTATGTCGGTCCATTGATGCAGGCCAGTGAAGAGGCACTGCATCTCGACCACTCACGTCTCAAGGAGAGCACCTATCTCTTCTGGGGCGTGATGTCCAAGGTCTATGGATCGGAGTTCACCCCTTACCTTGAGGGTGTCGTCAAGGCATTGATCGCCTGTCTGGAGCAAAATGAGACTGAGATGGAAGTTTCTCTCGGAGATGCTGCTAAGGACCTGGTTGGCCAGGAGGTCACTATTGCTGGACATAAGGTGCGCGTTGCTGGTGCTGATGATGATGACGATGATGAGTTCGAGGACGAGGACGATTGGGAAAACCTCAACACCGTCACGCCAGTCTCGCTAGAGAAAGAGATTGCCATTGAGGTTCTCGGAGACGTGATCACCCACACTGGCAAGTCGTTTATGCCCTTCTTCGAGATGACCATGCAGCACATCCTACCACTCGCCGAGCACTCGTACGAGGGCGTGAGGAAGAGCGCAATGTCGACCCTTCACCGATCGTATGCTGCCCTATGGCAGGTCTGCGAGGAAACCGGGCAGATGCAGAAATGGCAGCCTGGCAAGAACATGCCATTGAGTGAGCCGCCCGCTGAGCTTAAGAAGCTAGGTGAGATCCTGATGAAGGTCACCCTTCAACGATGGGCCGAGGAAGATGATCCGTAAGTCATATTTCATTTACTTTCGGTTTTTTCTGTTCCCCCTTCCCTCTTTTCTATGATGACAACACTCGTTTACCCAGCTCACGCAGACGTCCAAAGGGCGATTGCTGATACCGCGATCTACTTCTCTGATATTAAAAACATATGCCTGTCTATTATGTACTTTGTTTTATCTCCATGTTTGTGCAGATGCTAACTGTCACAAATCATAGTTCTGCGGTTTCTGATATTAACCGTAACTTCGCTGACAATCTGCGCTTCTGTGGCCCCTACCTTATCTCCAACCGTGAGAATCTGGAAAAGGTCACGTCCATGGTTACCTCGATCATCACCAAGCAGCATCCATGTCAGATCGAGCTTGATGCCACTGAGGAAGACAGAGAGCTCATGGAAGAACTATCCGAGTTCGACTGGAACGTCATCGATACCGCTCTCGATGTTGTGTCAGGCCTCGCGATCGCTCTCGGCGCCGAGTTTGTTGCCCTCTGGCCAACGTTCGAGAAATATGTCCTTCGCTTCGCCGCAAGCAGCGAGTCACTCGAGCGGTCGACCGCCATTGGTGTCCTTGCCGACGTGATTTCTGGACTCAGCAGCGCCGTCACCCCATACACGGCCAACTTCTTGCGTCTCCTCACTCACCGTCTAACGGACGAGGACATGCAGACCCGCAGCAACGCCAGTTACGCTGTTGGTCTTCTGGTCGAAAAATCTGAAGCTGATGCCGAACTCGTGGCTGCATATCCAACTATCCTGGAGAAGATCTCGAGCTGCCTTCAAATCCAACAGGCAAGACTTCCCGACAATGCTGCCGGATGTCTTGCTCGCCTGATCCTCAAACACCGCGAGAACGTTCCATTGGAGGAAGTCCTACCTGCTTTGGTCGAAATTCTCCCTCTGAAGAACGACTACGACGAGAACGAGCCTGTCTACAGAATGATCTGCCAACTCTGTATGTCGTACCCCTTTTTTCCCTTACTTTTATGTTAATATTTCATGGCTGGTCGTACTAATAATATGTTTCAGATAAATGGGAAGACGCAACTATCCGCCAGCTGACACCCCGTCTCCTGCCGATCTTTGAGTCCGTCCTGACCGGAGATAACGACCAGCTAGACGAGGAACGACGAACGGAGTTGATTGAGCTTGTTTCGTGGCTGAACAAGATGCAGCCGGGTGGAGCTGCTGCCTTCGTCGAGAAGCTTACCTCGTAATCCAAAGTGGATAGATGGAGATGAGACATGCATATAATAAAGTAACAACTTTGTGCTTTTCTTCTTCCAAAGGGGCTGCATGGTTGTGCGCGGGAGACAGGAGAGTATAAGATACCCCCCAAAAATTCGGGACCGGCTCAAGTGCTGAGACCAACTTTCTAACGATAATGAGATAAGATATATATTCCTACTACGCAAGATTCCAAAAAAAAAAAAAGTACCTTTTGTTATATCTAAAGCTGAGCTTCCGTCATAGACAGCCACTAAGATAACTAGAAACTCCTCTATGGAGTAAATCATACGCATATGAGCACCCTGGCCTAGCTGAGACATGCTTTCACGCCAGCAGGCAACATCCACTCGCAGCAGCTCTCTAAGCGGGCATCTTGTATCTAAGTTGTGGCTCATCCCAGTCCTCGTCATCGCCCGCCCACCCAGAAACAAGTCAGATAATAAGCTCAGGGGCCCGAGCAAACATGTCTACACATATATAACCAGCCACAAAGTCCCTCGTTAGTGTAGAAATGTGCCCTTTGCACAAAAGCCAAGAGCAAACAAGCAATTCCAAGGCCGTTAAAACTCCATACCAAGCCTTCGTTTTCTCGTATGTTTTCTCTAGACAGTCACTTCTCTTGATGCAGTTATTCAGGACTAACAACTAGGAAGCCCTATCAACAATGGCCGAAAGTACGAAAACCACGCTGGTCAACGAGACCTTGCCGACCTCCTCTGGCTCGTCCGCCACCTCTTCTATCTCTAAGCCTATCAAGGGTGCTACCAAGCCGTGTTTTGGTTGCGGCTGCGGCGACGAAGACTGCGAGTGTATCTGTGTTGTCATGTAGACGTCTGGTCTCTTTTGTTTTGCGGTTTAGAAACGAGGGAGGAACGTACACGAAGTCTTCGAGTTATTGGGAAGAGCTGGTACCTCTACACTTTTTACGTCTTGTTCATCACACTGGTACCCCCTTTTTTAATGGCGGGATATTATTCAATTCTATGATCGAATTACACCTTTCCATCTACATGACATAAGCGTATGGTAGCTGTGCTTTCCAGCAGAAGACAAAGTTGAATGAAATCTTGTAGCAGTAGTCGTAGAACTGGGCCCTCTGACAGCAGTGCCAAATAAATGTATATCGAGTGGTATAGCTGTAGCCTCGGGTTATACATACTAAAGTTAGAACAACGATTATGGCCTGTTTCTGTCATAGGACGACTCAGCCATATTCTCTGCAAGACGAGAGTACCCTCTTTCTGGGTTAGCATCATCTTGGGCGGAGGTTGATGTAAGTAGGCAGTGTAAAGATGGCCTTCGCCGGCCCAGGCAAGGCTCTGCTCCCACCCGTCTTGTGGCTGCTACAGCTTGCCATGATGGGTGATGCTCTTGTTCAATATGGTGACTGTCTCCGTCATCGTCTTTGACAGACCGAATCCATTTCACCCTGCTTCTTCAATCCCATCGAGGAGCTGCCATATCACCCGCGCCTCCTCAAGATCACTATCTTCCTCGGCGAGTGGCTTACTATCCTTACTTTCCTTGCCCTGGCCTTCTTGGTCGACTTGCATCCCGTCGTCACCGGATTCCCCCCCTTTATCGCCCTTTGACATAGTCTGCAACCAACTGGCGACTCTGCCTTCTATCTCTTCCATCTGTTTCACCTCCTCCTTGGCCATTTCAATGCGCTTCTCGATCAAGCCACCTAGTGATTCCCGAGCCTGGTGCGGCCGGTATAGATTCAGCAGATGATATGCATTAATGAATAGCGTGCGTATCATCTGCAGTTTCTCCTCTGCATGCTCTGGCGCAATTGAGAGGATACCGGTTAGCTCCAGGAAATTGAGCAGCAGCGACTTGGTTATTTTCGTGAGGTGATAGGCATGTCCAGACGTAGGCGAGGAGGATGGGTAGAGCTGAGTTATCCCTTGGTCGCTCAGAGAGGGAGGATTGGGTGAGAGCTGTCTTCTCCGTCAATTATCAAAGCAAGACTGCAGCCAACGAGTTCCTCCAAGCTGTAGCTTACCTGCTGTGTTTCGCCAAAGAGCACATAATCCGTCGTAGGGGGCTCAGGTGGTATCAGATACCTCAACTCTGGATCCACATCTAGGGCTCGCAGCTCAGCCGGCGTCCAGTCCTTGCGCTTCGTCTTTTCATCGCCGTCTTCCGGACGTGCTGCACGCTTCGCATCCGCAAGCTTGTTCAAGTTGCTCTGGCTAAAGTGCTTCCAGAACGGCGGCGGTGGTGGGAACGCTGCCGTAACTCCTCGCTGGGCCCCTTCTTCCATCTTGACCTCTTCTATCCAACTCTGTTTCTTAATCTTGATGTTTTGATGTCTTGAAGTGTCTATTCTGTAGAAAAGAAGAAGAAGAAGCTTACATAATCTCGTGTTTTACCAAACGTCGAAACGAAGATGAAGAAATCAACGACTTTGCTAGCAGAAACTTGAAGGACGCAGAAAGACAGAAAGACACAAGCTGGAAAGATTTTGAACGGCGGAGGAAGCCATTCACTCGTTTACTCGTTGTTTGTTGTTTGTTGCTCGCTCGTTTTGGAGCAGAATAACTGTGTGAAATGCCATAAGACGCATTCTCCTTTTACTATATTCTCCAGCGTTGAGGATGGTGGATGGACGAAAGACTTCGGATCTCGCCCACCAGCCAGGCTGTATGGGAGCTCTGGTGAGGTTCTGGCGCCGGTCATACGCTGCGGACTATTCGATCCTCATATTTTTGGTTGTTACGTGGGTGATGGTATGTTTATAATGGAGTTGACTGTGCATGGAATATGGAAGTATAATCATACTGACAAGATATATAAAGCTACAACTCTTCGTACACCCATTTCACCAGATGTTCAGCCTGGATAATACGTCTATCCAATACCCCTTTGCCATTGTTGAACGGGTCCCAGTCTGTGAGAACGCCCTTTGATTCCCTCTATTACATATCATGATGCTGGTCTAACGGTTCTCCTTTTTCTAGTATGGTCCATCATCTACTCCGGCGTCTTTCCTCTCCTTGCAATAGTCGTCTGGTCCGTTCTATTTCGTCCAGGAAGTCATTTTGTCCATGTCACCCTTCTCGGCCTCCTTGCTGCGCTGCTGGTCACCATATTTGTAACCGATATAATCAAGAACGCTGTTGGCAGGCCACGGCCGGACCTGATATCACGCTGCAAACCGGAAAAAGGCACTCCAGAACATGCACTGGTGGACTACACAATATGTACATCCACCAACCAACATAATCTAAACGAGGGTTGGCGGAGTTTTCCTAGTGGACACAGCAGTTTTGGGTTTTCCGGCCTAGGCTATCTTTCATTGTAAGCATGTTCAATATTGTACAACCGTTGCTATTATTGCTATTCTAACAGCCATATGAAGCTTTCTTACTGGACAACTGCGGGCCTGGCGCCCTCATTCTGGCCTTGCCCGCCTCCTCGTCTCTCTGTCTCCTCTGCTTGGGGCGCTGATGATTGCCATTTCCCGAGTAGCTGACTATCGTCACGACGTGTATGACGTGAGCAGTGGCTCGATAATAGGCCTCGGGACGGCGTATCTGGTGTATCGCTGCTATTATCCGTCTCTGTGGGCGGTAGATTGTGATACACCTTATCATCCGGACGATCAGGGGGCGATGCATGGGTTTCAGCGAGTCGGCGGCGACGAGGAACAGGCGTTTCAGTCGCAGCAAGTGTATAACGAACAAGCATACCGTATGCAACCTCTCGACCATGGGAGGTAAACATAGCTGGCTTGTGTATTACTACTAAAACCATTCATTGGCGAGGCGTTTTGGAGGGGGAGTTTTTTTTGTACTAATAGTCATTCTTACCCATATTTCTCAATACACTGCACAAAGAGCCGATTTGGCCTTTCATATTATTAATTGGACTGTCATATTATTGAGACTGGTACTCCTTGGATTGATCGTCGCTAGCATAGACCTCTTCAACTTCATTAAATCACTATAGAATAAAGTGCATAAATATAAGAAATATATACTCTGTAATTAGTAACATATATAAATGTATTAAACAAATAAAGTGGTATGGGTATTCCGTAAGTAAGAAGAAATCTGAACGTAAGAATGAGTCGCGGATGGCGACTATACGGAGTACTGGTCCGGGACACAAGGACCAGTTCGACATCTCAAGGCGGAAAGCAGTGCTAGTCATGAAATAATAGGAAAATATGGTGAGAGTAGGCGTGCCACACGAGCATTAAGCGAGGTGAAATTCTGTGATAGTGGGTGTGACCAGTCTCACTGCCAGTTATTGCCCAGCTGCTCCAAAAAAGCAGCGCGTTCTTTGAGCTTAGCTTGCACGGCCTCCATTTCCTGGATGGCCTTGCGGACCTCGGTCAGGTTTCCACCATTGAGTTTCTCTGGAATTTTGAAGTAACAGTGGTTTGGGAACGGATTGGTACGCTGAGTTGAAGGCGGTGGAAGGGACGAAGAAGGTAACGCGTTGGTAGGAGATGGCGCAATAGATGGGGGAATGGTCTGGGCAGGTGATACCGGAAGGCTATTCTTAGGCGGCATTCCGTTATTGTGTGGTTGGGTGTTAGGGTTGTTCGTGTTGCTGTGGTTCGCGTGGTTGATATTGCTGCTATTGTTGTTGTTGTTGTTGTTGTTGTTGTTGTTGTTGTTGTTGTTGTTGTTGTTGTTGTTGTTGTTGTGGCTGCTGCTGTTGTTGTGATTGATGTTGTTATAGCTGTGGTCAAATGGGGCTGGGTGAGGAGAAGGCTTAGTAAGGGAGGGCAGAGCTTTTGTTGCAGAGGACGGGGGCTTGACGGATGAGGACGGAGTGTTGGGTGTGCGCGGAGATGTTCGCGGGACAAGTTTTTTACCAACAAGTTTTGAGGGTGTTGAGTTGGATGAGCCGGGGAGGAGGTGGTCGGGATCTATGTAAGTAGTTAGCCTTTCGCTATTCTGTTATATTCAACATCCATGGCTATACGTACGGAACGAGCATGTCCTCGGGTTGCCTGTCCAGATACAGCTTGCACAGGCGCCTCTCAACGGTGGCTGGCCGGTAGGATTCGGAGGGCGAACGCACTGTTCGAACGGACCCCTCCCACGCACGCATGAAGTGCAGGGTTCAGCAGCTAGTTCACCTCTTGAGAAGTAAATAGACGCATCTCGAGTCCACTGGTTCCGAAGTTCCCTTGGCACACCGTTGCGCCAGACAATCGGCCGTGCGCAGGGGATGTCACGAAGGCTAGCAGCGAGTTGTGAGTTGGGAATAACTTGCATGACGGGAAAATTTCCTGGTCCACAATTTGCGACAGTGACCATGACGCTTGGTTTAGCCTCTGCGTGACAATCAGTAAATGTAGCAGGAAAGCGTGAGATTATAGTAGCATGGAAACGGACCTGGTGCAGGAGTGGAGGACGTCTTCACCCTAATCGGTGGTTTCTCTGACGATGGAGGTACACTTTGCGATCCATTCGGCGTATTTGTTGGGGGTAAGGGAGCCTCTGCCGTTGGGCGAGGGTGGTCGGCCATGGAGTATGGGATGTCGATGTCCCCTCCAGAGATGAGAGACGAATCTGAATCTGACAATGAGGACACATCGCTATGTAGAATTCCATCCTTGTTGTCGCAATCAAGATCCATAATTGTAGGCCTCGGCAACGGTCCTTGCATTGGTCTCTGAGGTTGAGATTCCCGAGCCGGCCTGTGAGGTCCTTGTGCTGCCGCCGGCGCATCTGCTGCGTCGGATGCTTCTGCCGCCACATCTACTACATCCGTAGCTGGTACCATCGGCTCTGGTTCCGGTATGGGGGTGAACTTCTGCCGCTTGGTGGGAGGTTCTGAGGGTGTTGATTGCTGAGACATTCTGTACTGATCGTACTTGTTCCAGAAGTCTGCCGTGACTTTGATACGTAATGGATGGCCGAGTGAGATGCTGACTGCGCGGCTGGAGGAGCTGGTGGAAGGGTTCTCTGGTACGATATGCTCGGTTATCTCACCTAGAGCCCCGATTTGCATCTTGCAAGACATGGCCAGTTAGCATAAACTGTCTTGAAAGAAGCATTTATTCAATCTGAGGTTAGATGAATGGCAAAGCTGAAGGCTAAGACTCGATTCAATCTCTTGCTCCGTTGCTGCGGAGGTGACTTTGGCCGCCAGCTCTTCCAAAGCTCGTGAGATTACCTTGTAGAAGACAGCATTGACCTGGAGGAGAAGAGAAACTCGAGCTTGATCGCGTGTCTTTTCTCTCGCCAGCACCAACTAACGGCGCGCGCGCGACTTCGACGGCGAAAGAAGCAAAAAGCTGTTCGTCTTTTTCTTTTCTTCTTCTTTAATTTCTTGCGTTGATTCGTTGATATTTCCTAAAAGGGAAGAAGTTGAAGTTATATAGTAGTGTCACGTGAGTTGATGTCATATTTTTGATTACGTAAGATCGACATCGAGGTCGAAGTTGAAAAGACGATGAGATGAAAAAGAGACGAAGAAGACGACGGGCGAAGAATATACTGACTGAGGCGACGAGACGACGAGAACTGAGGCGAGACGACTGCTGAAAGTGAGAGAGCTGCGATGTAGCTGAATGTAGCTGACGAGGTGGATGTGATACTGCCAGCACAAGGACAACGACGACCACAACGACGAGGACATCGATACTACGGCTACATGCCAGAAGGCTCGGGGATGGAGGGAGCAGGCGGTGCGCCGCAGCCTCCCCCGCGCGAATCTACTCCCCTGGGCTTCAGAGACCCAGTGAAGAACCGAGAGGATGCGCAGAAACCGTCGCCAGAGACGCCGCAGCGGGCCAGCCGGCCTCATCTGGGGCTCTCGCTGCACATGCCACAGCCGTTTAGCCCAAAGAACGGTCCTCCGGCTGCTCGTATACCGCTGTCACCGAAGCTGGACTCTTCACACTCGTTCGGTTCACCGGGCTCTGTGCTGCCGCGCCGTTCTCGAGGGCTGGACTTCTCGCGCGCTTGCACCAACCTACACCATTCCACGCTGGCGGAGTCCTCTCCCGACTCGTCACCGGTCGTCAGTGGCAGGGGGATTGCCATCCCCCAGCGTCGTGGTACCACCGGCAGCAGCGCGGGGTTGGTCGGCTCCCCCAGCAACTCGCACCACCATTGCCTCACCTCAAGCGTGAGCGGCCATGTCGAGAGAGCTGTTGTGTCAAGCTCCGTGAGTAGTGTGAACATGATCGACTCGGACTCGTCGAGCACGGATGAAGAGGACGAGGACGGTTCCGTGCATGGGTTTGACCGCGGTGACCCAGCTGCGATGAACCCCCAGGCAAAGAAACAACAGCCCAGTCTGGGGCTGTCCGCTCCCTTCTCGCCGAACTTGACTCCCGCATCAGGCGCAGACTGGATATCGGGGTTCTCAGCCGCAAAGGCAAGCCTGATGAACTTCCAACGAGCGAGGTACCGTAACGGCCGGAAGAGACACAGTTCGTCCAGTGCAAGCGGTGCCAGCCCCAGACTGCTCTCTACGTCTCGGTCTCCACCAGCAGAGAAGGCCTTTGATGGTGGCGCAGGGAGCTACCTGTCGCAGACCCTGGCTTCGCGGGAGGTCAAGTCGAAACTAGATGAGCTATCCCACGTTCCCTCTGACTTTCACCTTTCCGACGGGAGTGACGATGTAGACGGCGCGAAACAGGCCGGTATCAGCACTCCGTCCAGCGGCTCCCTTGCTGGAGGCTCGAATTCCGAGTCTAGTCGCCGAGGCGTCATTCGACGGCCGGTGACTAGGCGGGGAAATCTTTTGGTACGACCTTCATCATTCTTTCATATATATACACACATGCATTCATATGATACTAATTGGTAATTCCACAGCCTAAACCTAAAAATTTTGCCCGAATAAGGGCCACCTTGTTTGAAGAGTGCGCCCCCGTAGAGAGTGATACTAAGAAAGAAGCAGAGGTCGTTCGCCAGGTGCGAGAAAACGACGCCTCTGTTGCTCCGCAGACGCAGTCTATCTTACCCAGTGCATTGGAGATCAAGGACTTTGCGACCACTGGCCTTGGCCCCCATGAAATATGCCCGAGACCACCCTCCAGTTTCAGTCGACAGGTATCGCGCAACTCCGGAGGGATCGACTTTTGGAATTCTTTTGACGGACGATACAAAACTCCACCACCACTCTCAGCCGGCGACTCGGCCATGGCTTCTCCGGGCATGGAGAGTGGCCTACCAAGCCGGCAATGCAAGGATATAGACGTCGAGCCGGAAGTGTTCCCCAAGTTCAACAAACGACGACGTGGAGACGACTTCGACCTGGCCTCTTTCAAGCGTCGGGCCGTCTCTCCAGGGCCCAGCATCCACAGTAGCCCGGTTCAAGGGCATGCGGGTGCTGGTACAGAGGCCAGCCGGGTTGGCCATCTATCAAAGGCCATCTTGTTCCCAGGCAGCCATCCCAGCGAGACCAGCTCCAATACCAACACCAGCTCTGGGCCAGTAAAGCGAGTCGGCCTCCAGGGCATGACCGAGACCAGTGACGGCTTTATGAAGATGACCATCGACTGACATATTCCCTCTCTCTCTCATCCCTATCCTCATCTTATCCCATCTTCTCTCTATCTTTACCTTCTATATCCTCATCTCATCTTCTAAATTTACCCTATTCACCCGGCATTCAACATCTATACCACTTAGCGAGGCATCACTATCTATCAACGGCGTCTGGTTTATCTGTATATACTCCGTACTGCTACTTATCCTCTAATGAAATCTGATATCGTCCAGCTTAACTAATCCTGGCTTGGCGTGATGTTCACCAAATAAACAACCACCAAAGCAAATCAATTTAACAAGTCGTAACAAGCAATCAACCACATAGAAAACTCGCGTTTGAGTCCTCTCAGCCCTCTTTATATAATTCTGGAACGCTTCGTGCCAACGGTCTGTCTCTGACATGGCTTCTCATGCTGAAATTGCTTCCTCGTTCATAGAGGGAGCCCCGCCAGGCGAGGTACGCAAAGGCATCAGCCAATCTCCAGATAAGCCGGATAGCCAGCTAATAAACCAATCTTAGCTTAAAGATGTTGTTGCCGGTAAAAGCTACGGTTACTCTGATCGATACGTTGCAATCAATTCTAACCATCCGCTGAAACCAGACATCAAGGCGTTGACCTCTCCCGGCACTAACTTCATCCCCTCCCTCGAGCCGGCATTCAGGAAGTACAACGAGACCCAGCTTACGACAGTGAAGCTGGCCGGAAGTAGTCGAGAGGTATATTCGTATCTGTCTATGGTCAAGGACCGTTACAGGCGATGCCTTTTCGTGGTGCTAATGTTGGAGCTATAGGTCATCGTCAGTGCATATAATAAACTTGAAGACGGTCGATATTTCGATGTAGAAAACCAGACATCCTTCGACTTTGACCATGTTTCACAAGTATGTTCCTTTGCTTTCTTACTCTAACCTCTGCGGCCTTTCGTGATGCTGACAATGGGACTACTAAGACAGCCTCCAATCCTCGATCATACACCCTAGAATCTCAGAATGCAGAACTCATGTTAGTCGGAACCATTACCCTCCTGGGCCAGACCAGATACTAACCCGTACCGAATGCAGAAAATCCTACCTAAAACACCTTTCTTCGCATGCAGCCGAACATTATCCAAACAGCTCATACGGCGTCTATCCTTCCCAGGACGATTCCTCCATCGCCATTCTTCTAGTTGCGAATAAATACTCTCCAAACAACTTCTGGTGCGTACAAGATTCGTACGGAATGGTCTAGGATAGCTACTTACTTTAGTTTAGGAATGGGCGGTACCGCGCCATATACAACCTGCTAGTGTCCTCTCCATGTACGATCACTGGCACAATCCACGTGGACGTACACTACTATGAAGACGGGAACGTTTCTCTAAACAACAAGAAGCCGGTGTCGATCTCGATACCCTCGGCGTCCCCAGCCGAAACCGTAGTCAAACGCATTGCTACCGCAGAGCGAGAGCACCAGGAAGAACTGAACGATGCGTTCAACCGGCTGTCTGAGGGTGCGTTCAAGGGACTGCGTCGACAGCTCCCCATCACACGGCAGAAAGTTGAATGGGAGAAGATTGGTGGATATAGGCTTGGGAAAGACATATCTGGCAGTACAAGGTACTGATAGATTGCTCACGGCTAGCCATATAGATATGTATATGCTTATAGCTCTTGCTTTAATACATTTAAAATGTAGTCTGAAGCGACTGACAAAAAAAGGAAAGAAAAAAAAGTCAACCGTGAATGCACCTGGGAAATATTTAGTAAAGTAGATGAATATAAATGTTCATGACTCCGACAAGATAGTCCTCTTCCACCAAAAGTCACACTCTTCCTTGGTGTAGCTTATATTTCCCAGCTGGGCGGGGATACCGATACCATGGCCCCCGGCACGCTCATCATTCCCTTCTCCCATCAACATGACGCTGTTTTCAGTTCTAGCGCTAAATGGGATCCATTTGGGCCTATCGGCGTATCTTCCAGCGATAGCGTTTGGGTCTCCGGACGTGACGAAGGAAGTAAAGTAGGCGTGCAGGAAACCCGCTAGCAACTCTTGCGTCTTGGATATCTTTCGGATGCCGGGGTTGTAGAGCTCATACGACACCTGCTCTCCGTGGCCTGCACCGCCCCTGACGGTAGTGTTGACGGCCCAGTGGTAGAGGAAAACTGGGGGAGTCTGGCCTGCAGAGGCGTGATATGCGGTCTGTTGGATGGGGCAGATGTAGGCATACTGGCCGTACGCAGCCGTTGCCCGCTTGTACTGTGAGCCAACGCTGATGGGACGGGTATCAAGATATGGTGACGAAGAGTCAACGGCCGGGTCAGGGTACAGTTTGTTCAGCATGTCGATGTCTGCATCATCCAAGGCTGGTATCAGATCCGTGAAGAATTTGTTGAACTCTGCCGAGGTGTCCATGCCGGAGGGTGCAAAGGGGGAACCCTCGTCGGTGTTGAAACCGGTGAGGATGGGGATTTTGTTCCAGCTGTTGAACATCCAGGCAAGGACAGGAGCTTCACTGATGATCTCACCATCAATGACGGGTTGGAAGGCCCAGCGGTCAGAAGGATTGTAGCGGTTGAATATGTCGATAGAGGCCTGGCCGACGGTCTTTATGGGCTTTTCACGAAGACAGGAGATGATATCTGCTCTATCAACATCGGAGCAGCCAGCAGCAACGACAAACTCGTCAAACTGCACGGAGGGCAGGGGCGCATCAGGCGGATAGACAGCCCTGGCAGTAGTGGCACCAGACTCCAGCAGTGCTCGATGGAAGAGCGGACGAGAGCCACGCTGCTTATACATGATCTGATGGCCAATCTATGTGATATTAAGACATTTGTATATATCTCTTCAGGGCATGCATGGAACCTACCGAGTGAGCACCAGCCGAGAGACCCATGATGGTGACCTGGTTTGGATCACCTCCAAATTGCTCGATGTTATCCTGAACCCATTTGAGGAGCAGGAGTTGGTCGTATAGGCCGGCGTTGAGCAGGCGTTTATCGGCCATCACGTCTGACGATAAGAAACCAAGGGCACCAAGACTGTACACGACTGTCAGTCTATTAACTTCATGAACAAGAGAGAGGGGATAACTTACCGATAATTAAAATTCAGAGCAACGAATGGCTTCTCCGACCAGGCCAGCAGAGCAGCCGTATCATGAAATCGTCCTAGCAGAGCCATCAGCCATGCCGTAAATTGTAGGTTGAAAGAGAGAAAACCCACCAGCTCCCAGATTAAAAGCTCCTCCATGGAAATAGACGAGCACAGGCAGCTTCTGACCAGCCTTGGTCTCCATGGGACGAAATATGTTGGCACTTAGGCAGTCTTCGCCCCAGTCAGGGATGAGACCGTCGAGAGAGCCAGCGATGCATCTACGAGCAAGTCAGTAAACAAAATAACAGCATGTATAAGGGCCCAAAATAGACATACCGCAGGCCATATTTGGAGGCATCAATCGTCTGCGAAGACTTCTTGACCGGTTCAGGCCTGGCAAAGCGTCGTTGGCCCGTCGGCGGGAGCGCATAAGGGACGCCCAGGAAGGCCTCGAGCGACTGCGGGAAATCAGCATCGTCGCGGATGGTGCCAACAACGGTTCCCTGGGACAAGACGACGGTAGGAGCCTGGCGAGCAAGTAGCAGAGAGGTCGTCAGATGCGCCCATGATGGTAGAACAGCCGTCAAGGTGCGTTCATAGAGCAGCGACCTGCGCAGGTTTCTCAGCGCTGGGCCACCAGCATAGCCACCGAAAGAGGAAGAATATGAAGCCCCCGAGAAGACAGCAGCCAGGACGGCGCCCAGCACAAGTAGGACGAGCGCGATTCTTGCCTGGCGCCGGCTGGAAAACATCGAGGTGATAAAGTCGCTGATGGAGCGTGAATGGTGGTTTTGATACGGCGTTTGCCGCGGGTGCGGATATATCGCGTTAACCATCCTAGCTATATCACCGTTAACTATTATCACCACTGTTAACTATCACTCTACGATGATATTAACTGCTCTACGATCAATATCTACGACGAGGAGTCGATCTTTATATGCTGCCGGAGACCTGCACTACGTTGTGGGCTCGATAACTACGTTTTGCTTCTTTCTCCTACGACCCTTGGACTACTCCATCCGCATGACAAAAGAAAAGAAGGCCAAACACAGCGACAACGAGGTTGATGAAGTCGATAAATGGGAGCAGGTCACAATGGCCTTGATCCCGGTACCTCGTCTCGGCTGATCTTTGGACGAGCAGACATACATACGGACCGTTTGAACCGATATATGGACAGACAGCAACGGCAGATAGGTAGAGAGGCAGAGAGAGCAGGCAGAAACAAAGTCACCAGGACATCAGCCAGGAACTGGTCTTGAGATTCGAGTTCTCGCTTACAGAAAGGGTGTTGCACTGCATATACATACATCAAAAGCATATGTAACAAAGGCGGGAGCCGCTAGATGCTTGAGTCGCGCCTCTGCTGCTCCGTGTGATGTATATACTCACTTCTGGGCCCGGGCAGCCATGTTTCCTGCACGATTACTTGTGCTATCCATGCAACAATTGCGGGCCGTGTGACGGTGAACAAGTTGTCTGGGGCCCCTGGTCGTGGCTCTTCCGCGGATCTCTAGCCGGCAACGCTCTGCCGACACATCTCATTATTTCGTCAACTATACCATTAACGAGATCGGTATATCTCAGGATAATGCATCGAACCGAGGGATGCAACGCCCACCCGGATGTCATCCGCTGACTTACCCTGTATACAGAACCTTTTCCTGATCGTCCCTCGCGATGGCTTTTTCCTTGCCGCACATTTTTACTGCAAATCAGAGGAAATATTCTGCAGCTGATGATGCTGGTTATCCTGTCGATCTTGTTAACCGAGTGTTGACTAGTAGGTTATTGTTATGCCTATGTTAAACTAGCTGTTATTGTAGCACCTTGCTACAAGTCGAAATTTTGATTTCTGCCTTCAACCTTTTGCCGTCAAGGATGGAATTTATGCAGTGCACTTCAAGGTATCAACGGGTCCAGCTGGCGACACGTAGCATAACTATCTCAACGGTCATGTGGCGAGAACGGTTCGTACAATATTTCTCGGGGTGGAATACTCCCTGCACCGAACCTGACCACGTCTGGTTGGGGCGGAAATATACCGGTGAATACCAAATGGTTAAGAGTATGGGATGACATTGATATTCACTCCTTGCCTATTGACAAGCTGCACATTTAATCTTTTGAGAAGATTAACTAATTAATATAAGCTTGTTTTTAGCTCCATCTCACCTCTATACCAACGGCGGGTCAGTGACTGTACACACGACTAAGCATCAAGGAGCCCAACACAAAGGTATGTCTTCACCCACAATCTGGTGCAGTCTGCGTTAATTGCTAGATTCCACTTAACCATATTCGCCAGGGTCATCTTATAATATACTTGGATGACAGGATATATATTACTAGTCTCGACAAATGGAACTTATTGCAGTTCGTAACCATGCCACTCTATATCGGAGTTAGCGTCTGGATGCCATTTGGGGACTTAGTTGGAGTCATCGTCGCCGTGGGCTTTGGAATATACCCCATGACGGACACACAGGCGTATGCATTCACCATAAGCCTATAAAATATACCGCCAGCCTTTGCATTCTATTTTGTCAAGTCGGACAACGTTATGCTGTTCTTTGACGCAATAGAGGCACCGGAATCGCCAGACTTGACCAGATGGAACTTGTAACAGTTGTCAACAACCTTGGGTTGCGTTGGCAGGGGGTTCATAGTACGAGAGAATGCATATATCATCAGTCTACTTGGTCTAGTCTTGTGGTATCCCAACACATAACTAATGGCATGGTTATACTACACAGACGGATTAGCGGGCGTTGGCTGGGAAGCGGAAAGGGCCGTCGTATACGGCCTGGTAACCGGTAATAGATACATAGGCATAGGTATCAGCTCATAGTTCTGAGCAGTCTGCCCCGGCACTTGGATCCCAGGCAAGAAACTGGGCACTGGTGATTCTATAGGTGGCAGCAATAATGGGGCAATCTTCTCCTTTCTAAACCAGTTTGCCTGGAGCAGCCGATCACACGGAGCCGTCTCATTATAATCAAGCCACCAGGTACAGCAGGTGGCCGTGCTATTGTTGTGCGGATTCATGGAGTGGTCCCCCGTTGGTGGAAAGGGGAGTCAGGGGGAACACCAAATAACTACAAACCCAGGGTTGACTAGGCGGAAAAGGGAAGGTTAAAATTAGCCATGATGATGTCCCTAGCTGGAGTTTCGGAGGTTGGAAGATGCAACAACATTAACTATCCAGACAATTATAATGATGAAGAGGGGAGAAACTCCGGTGTGCAGCATGGCATTTCGACCGCATTCTAGCCAGCGTAGTGCATATCAGGGTAAGCAGGGTATACCACTTGGTATAATTAGTTGGACATGGGAGTATATCACATCCTCATTTTACCTGCATTATTTCATGGCCATTTATGCCTAAGATAACACTATACCTAATAGGCTGTCAGATGTATTTACTTCTCCATGTGGAGGAAGCATGGAGGACAACCTATGTTGTGACTTGGGTTACATTTACCTCGCAGACTGGTTAACGCCCTAAAGGAGTAACATAGAAAGCATGGCCCTTTCATAATGACTATCAGCCGAATTTCACACATGGCTCGGTAGAAAGGAAATTCTAGTTCAGTTATTTCCACTTCTTAATATTTCCCTCTGTATTCTGCATAATTCTCCCAGTTCTTGTCGATCCTGGTAGTAGCGCATAGAAGGGAAGAGCCGTACTAGCTGACGATACTAAGTCTTATTGCTGGCGGCTGAAAAAGAGTGTGCCTGCGAGTTATAACTACTTGTCGAGGAAGACGACTATTTAACCATTTAACTACAAACTTTAAATTAACTACTTAAATAAATAACCGGCGAGGTTGATGCGGTAACACGTAGATTTTACTTCAATGGTATCGATGAGCTTTTTATACGGCTCAAATACTTCCGTACTTTTTAGATTTCAAATTCTTTGTCCACAGTTTCTGGTCGAAATTCTCTAGAGCACCAACCTTAGGTCTAAGAGCTGCCGTCCTACCTTGAGAGGGCTAGTCTCTTTTGATGATTATAAGTTAAGTATCAGTTCCGCAGTGGAGATGTTATCTTCCCGCAATCCCTTCTAAAATTCGAATTTTCTCTCAGATATATCTTGAATGAGGTTAATTTTGTTTGCCCACTAGCAGTATCATAAATAATTAGTAGGGTCATATTATAGGGTTTGATTGGTATGAGCAATTATATATGATCTTTTATGCAATCATCAATGATAAATGACTAGGGACAACATCTACCAAAGAACTTATACACCTCCCACAGCGGTATTTGCCCAAGAACACGAGCTGTTCTAATTCATGAGCCCTTAAGACTACTAGTCTGGCCGTAACTGGATATAGTAAACAGCCGGGTGAAGAAAAAACGAAAGAGACACTGTGCATTGTGCAAAACCTCGGCTCTGTCAATTTGAAGCCGAGTATATATAAATAGTATATGAAATGTTTCGAACGGAGTGGTATGATGCCTCTTACTTAAAACTGAGAGCCTAGACAGAAGTGGGCGTATACCACGAGATGATGATATCCATACGATAGATGCTTAACAGCCCAGATGGTTAAAGGTTGACAAGGAAAGGGCTAAGACCATAGCATGTAAATAGTACCATGATAATGATCTCATGAAACGGCCTTTGCTGCCAGCGAGGGCTTATCATTAAGGGCATGGGTCAGCCCTTGATTCTATTCCATGCACCGTACCCCATTGAGGCGTAAGCGGCAAGTCGCAGTTTCATGTTACGTTATCATGTAGCACCCAACCCTGGGGCGATGCAGTAAGGAAAGCGTTAGATAACAGTATATCTCTGTAGCAAGGATTTATGCTGTATGTACGTTATGGAGTACAGTCATGTTGGTTCGTGCATATAGCAGAGTTTTAGGTCTGGGGTAATTAAGTTAGTTAAACTTAATATTACCTTGGTCTTGGCGGGATTAGCCGCACGCCAAGAGGGTTTGCTTTAACGACATAATAAACCAACTGTAGAACCTCCCCTCATCGGATTTTCATCAACTGTGCAGCAACTCTTAATAGACTAAGGGCGGACTCGGTAAGCAAGTAAATATTCCTTAGAAATATTCACACTTACTTTCTCTGTGACATATAGTAAGAATCTACCCACATGCTCTCGATATACGAGTAAGGTGAGCAAGTGTGTTGCGATAAGAGCGCATTGAGTGCTTTACCTGTTGAGCATCAATTAGCTGGAGAATACCCTCTTCAATGCGAATATTCGGCAGGCAAACTGATTGCTCATATGTTTTGCCTACATGACAATTGAAATCACAGCCGCCTAGTACAAACATAGTACCCCAGCTAGAGTGTCTCGCAGTTCTTCTGGACGCTCTAGTTCTATGTATAGAAATCCTGTAGGGAAAGCTTCGCTTTCGAAGAGATGGGCACGCAATTGTCACCCGATTTTACCTCATAGAAAGCATCGCAATTGGAAATCATGCCCGGCTGAATCAGAGTGGGAGTAGCTATCTCGCTTGTATTTGTCGGAGATGGCGCTGTAGTGGTCGGTTTAACACCAAGGTGCTAAGGCGAAGGCTAAATATTAGTTAAATGACGCCCGTTTTCTGAAGCTGCTTTTTATATGCATGTAATCGAACGCAATTATCACAAGAGAAGCTCAGCATGCTAGATAATATATATTGAATAATAAGTTTTGTGAAGGAGGAGGCAGCGAAACTTCTGATTCCATCTGCCAGAAGAAGGATACACCGGAGAGATATAGAGCTATCCCACACCACACTACCCCTCCCTATGCTACTGTGCAAAGAACGCCATCGCTTTCCTAGTCAGATGCATTTACGGGAATCCCACCTTGGCCGGCGAGTGCCTTTCCAAATAAACAATAAAAATTGATATAAGCAGGTGGCTCAACTTCTGAAACATCGACAGCGCTGTCATCCACCTAATAGAACTTGTGATGGAGAGTTCCAAGAAGGGGGTTACGATCCTAGGAGACTCAGTGGGTTCGGAACGTCGTTAGCTGGGGGTACAGCAACAGAACAAGGAAATTTTAGTTCAAAGGTTTAGATAACAAAAATGGATAGTAGTATAATCCTTTTTTCAGACAGTTATAACCGCTAGTTATAACTTATATGAAACTTATCACTGTGCCTGTTCTGTTTAGTGGTACCCTTTCTCTCCATTTAATTGCTCTTTGTTAGTATACTAGTTGTTGGACCGAAGATGAGTCTGACCCATGCATCTCTTTCTCACCTATGGTATATTAAAACGTTAGAAAGAGAGGGAATGATATACTGCACTGACTTTCTGAGACACGCTGGTAGCAGCTAACAAAATAGAAGTAATATTCCAACATCTCTTTCAGCCACAGGCATATAATGAAGTAGAGAGAAAGAGAGCTATCAGCCATAGAATGCAAACAGCTAAACGAGGCCTTTGGTTCCGCATGAGCGAGCTTATACAAGCGGATGAAGCATATAAAGCGGATGAAGTTGGGAACATCGTCCTGGATGGGAGATACCAAGCAGTTCTCACATCTGCCTTCCTTTTGCAGAGACTCCGTCGGTCCGTTTTGTTTGTATAGCGACCCCCTTTGTCAAGTCCTTTGCCACTTTAGTGCATGACTGAGTTTCGACTTTGAGAACGACGTCGAGATGTCGAGAGTTAAAAGCCTCGTCATGCCCGCTGGGCTCACCCATCAAATCTCACTTCACCAACAACATCTCTCCTGCCAGCTTCTTTCTGATCCACGGCAAAACAACACAATGGACGAACCCGTCACTGAACCGGCCCGGAGGTATATGTACCCGCATGATCCATATACCTTGACCAGGTATAATGCATTCCCCTCAGGGCTTAGTACTGGTGTAGTCCCACTAGACGTCCTCACTTTTGCGGTTTCCTCGAACCACCCTATTGTCGCGCGTTGGGGTGACGTTTCTACATACACTATCGAGCAGCTCGACAGGTTGAATATCCCCTGGGTTGCTGTCGAGTGCTTTCAACGGCGACAGGAGGAAGAAGAAAGTGAAGATCGGGACGACACAACAGTAATCATCACTGTGCAGGAGTTCCCTAAAGAGACAAACGAAATAGAAAAACTATTGCAAATGGTCCACGAATATTCAGGTACGCTCTTATGCTCCCTTCGTCATATAGGTTTCTTTTTCTTTTCTTTTTCTTTATCTTTTTTGGTTTTTTCACATGGGCCTTGCGAGGCTAACTCATGGCATTTAGGAGGCCTGTTTGTCGAGATGAGTATAGGGCAGATTCGATGTGATGCACCGGAGATAAAGCCCGAGTCAGAAGCAGCCAAAGGTAGAGAACAGAGACCGCCATACGCTTCAAAGCCGCCTATGGGTGGCTCCGTTGGCGTTGCTGGTATAGATTGGTCTACCGGTACATTCGGCGGCTACCTGGAGCTTTTAAAGCATGGACAACCAGCCAAGATATGTGGCTTGACTTGCCATCACGTTGTCGCCAAATCCGATGTGCCTGTTAGAAATTTTGGTAAGCATCTGAGGAACCCCAGGACATGTGGAGGGAAAAAATGCCAGTACTAATAATGAACTAGAGGCGATCGCGGGAGATGCTGGGAAACAAATCAAGATACAGCATCCAAGCCTTGGCGATCACAACAGAACACTATCAAGTCTGGAATCAGCTATTGATATGTATACAGGCTATCAATCAGTATACAAACAGGATTGCGACCCAGACCCCAGGACCAAAACGAAAATTGATAAGCTGAATCAGAAAATGGACCTTTGCATAGCCGCAAAGTCACAGGCAACATCGGCTGATAGAGAAATTGGCTCTGTTCTGGCCAGCTCTGGTTTAAGAATTTCTGCTGATGAAGGTCGGCTCGATTGGGCTTTAATTGACCTATATCCAGAACGTATCGGGATGAACAAGGCTCTCTCAGCTGAACAGCTCTATGGCCCCCTTTCCGAGAACGTCTACGACTGGTGCCAGCCTACTGAAAACCAACCTGTGTATATGATCGGGCGAACGTCAGGGTTGAAAGTCGGGTATATCAACGGAGTGCATAGCTGTGTATGCTATCGAGATACAGCCCAAGAAATGAGGACGAAGGAATGGGCAGTCGCGAGCAAGGAAGGAGGACAGTTTAGCCAAGGAGGTGACTCGGGGGCATTAGTCATTGCCCTTGGGACGGACAGCCTAATTGGGCTCGTATGGGGTGGCAATAACGATGGTTTACTGCGTAGGGAGCCAAGTTATTTTACGCCGCTGTCCGTTGTCGCCAAAAGTATCCGCGAGGAAACTGGCTACGGTGTCCGGCTTTTAGGCGGGGTTACAGAGATTGCTTAAGCCTTTGGCTTGCTATCCTTGCTGTTCTTTTCTATTCTTAATTAGTCTTTATTCTCAAACTTGCAACGTCTTTGTATGTTCTGCAAATAACCTTAGATTGCTCGTAGTAAGTATAAATTAAACACAGTATACCCGTTACTTTGTACTCATAACTGTCGTAGAATAAAGATGAAGCGCTTGGAAGCCTCATTATCTACATCAGAATAAGGCTCAATTTTTATATGTACCTCCTCCGTCTAACAGTCTTCTATACATTTCATTAGCAACGTACCAAAAAGAGGAAGGGTTTGCTTACCATTGTTGTTGTTGACGAAGATCCAATATATCCGGGGCGGTTTTCCTATGGCTGTATGCACCCCGACGCGGCTGGGTCGTCGCAGGTTTGAATGATAGGGTTGAAGAACTGGCCGTCGGTGCATGAAATGATCTCAGATAGCCCGGTGAAAACGCTGGCATTTGTCAACTCGCACTTGACGAATCTAGTGCAGTCGCCGGGGATGGGCAGCTGCCAGACCTTGATGGTCGCAGCCTGGCACAGCTTGGCCCCGAGGGCGCCTCCGGGGGCTCCATCAGCCGAGGCAAGGGGCAAAAGGGCGGCTCCAAGCGTAAGAAGAGATGGAAGCTTCATGGCGGCGAGCAGTTAAGAGATAGAATAGAACGTGAATGTTGACTTCTTGCGGAATCTTGAATGATCGATGAAAGGAGAGCAGTGAAGGAGATGTCGAACGCTTTATAGATATGAAGAAAAAGCAAATACCGTCCTGATAAATCGGTCTTGCAGACTGCACGCCTTTCAACGCCGGGAGAGTTCCAAGCCTGTCGTACTGAGATGGTGGATTTTCGCCATCGGATCGACTTCTGGTGGCTAATCATCGTACGCCCGCTGCACGGAGTATGCACGCATGCCCGGTGCATCCACTGCTGCGAGGGCTAGAACTGTAGCAAGCCGTGACATGCGATGGGAAAGGCTGGTCATATATGTGAACTCGTGGCAGGTACGAGGCGAACTATAGGATGGTCTTCCTACGGGGCACTCGACCAGGCTGTCGCCCCAGATATTCTGTGTTCGACCTCAATATGTCCACTACATACATGGTAGTAGATGAAGATCAACGCCTGAGCATCCTATTGGACCATGACGTGTGATGGAGAACCCAAGAGAGCCACAGAAGGGGCGCCGGCCTCCTCATATCACTTTTCTGGTGTATCCAAATATGCACCATGGGCACTGCCGGGAATGTGATGTCTCTTTCTTCCCTTTTTTTCTACTGTCAGGAGGCCTGGGGTCAGACAGCAACAGTGGATGGAAGCGCTCTCTGTCGATATCAATTCGTAGCAATGAACCTACAGTTGGGCCGCCGCCTGACAGGAACGACTTCAACCATCCAGCAACCTGCGAGTAATACTAGAGATGTGGAGGTTTGAACCCTGCAGAAACTGCTTGAGTTCAACTCCAAATCAATGATCGTACTCGCAATACATGGGGGGACGGACAGGCTGTAGTTATCTTCTGGTTGGTGGAGTTATTCGCCTATGCACAGGAGATCCATCGATATCTCCGCTCATTGCCAACGCCGTGTGGGGGCCGCAAGCCCCTGGCACCAAGTGACCCGATGATATTTCCGAACTCTCCGAACTGAACTGCCCTCTTATTAATGTTATGCCGTAATGTTTGGGTGGTATCACAGACGGGCATTTGCGATAAAAGCCCTGCCGACACAGATGCACCGGGTATGTACATCAAAACCAAGGCTCGTCTCAGTGGGTATATAGGGTGGTTCCCGACCTTTCTACTCTATAGCATGTCGGTTTTGGCAGTTCGCCCTGGGAGATGTACAGGTACCCTGGGGTATATACCGAACTGGGAGATCCGTGAAATCCTAGCTCGATGCTGCGCAGGACGGAGTACTCCAACTGAGATGGAGACCCCGTTGTATATACTATGTATGGCGGTGTCGAATGGATTCTGTGGCTCACCAAGAAGCCCTACACTGGGTGAAAGAAAGGGTTAAAGTTCGGAGGGACCTCCGATTGGACAATCGACCTGGGCGGGCATACGATAACTATCGGTGATGGTCCTGGAAGCCCTGGCGGCCCCCGGAATAGGTGTTGTTTATACCAGTCCTGACATCTACATAGTACAAGGAGGATAACCTGGTGGCTCAGTGCTAGCCTCCTTGTACGCTTGTCCTCCCCCCATGGATACTGATAATAACGCCGCCTCCACCACCGCCCAATGGCTTCCCGCCAAAAGTCACCATATCAGCGGGTCCCCCAAAGCCTACACGGCGGATCGTGTGTCTTTAACTGTGATCCTGGCAGTAGTGACTGTTCCGGAATCTGCGGTTGCATTGGGCCCTAGGTGCTGATTCAGCGATAAATATCCAGTCTGTGGCATCGTTGTCGCCATTTCACACCATCAAAGGAGCTGGCTCACGTGCTTTGTTCTCTTGAGTCGAAGAGAGAGATGGTAAAGGGTTAATCCATATCTATGAGCTTAAAACGTATGACCTTTCACTGACCGGCAAACGGTTCTGTCTCGCGACCAATGCCCAATGGTTTCGAACGGTCCGTCTTGCCGGCCTCGAGGGTTTGGAAGAAGAAATCGCTTGCTAGAATGAGATCTTGCAAGAGAAATCGAGCTTCGGGTGCGTCTGTCGACCCGTAGTCACGAGCTGCTTACCCGCTGGCTGCAACTATTGCATCAACGACCAACCGGTTTCTGGCGTCGAAGATGAACTCGAAGGCTATTACAACCGGCATCATCATAGAGGGCTCCTTTGCTATGGGAGGCTGGCCGGGGGATTGAATGAAGACTAGAAGCCTCTGGTTGTCTTTCTAGTGGGACCGCAAGGCCTCAGCAACCTGATCTATACCTCTACTCACATACTTCCGCCCTACCGCATTGCAGACTTCACCTCCATAATTTTGGCCTGCGGAGTCTGATTCGGCCCAGGAACCAACTTCTGGATATAGATCCGTACGAGTACACCATTGCTACTTCTCCACAGCTATATTGCGTTGTTGTTACCCATTCGTCATGGACCTCAGGGGCCGAAGTGAACCGTAAGTTAATTTCAATAACTCACTTTAGTTGACGGCCGCTGCTGCAAAGCTATAGCTGGCACAGAACCCAACGTGCAGTTACGAAGAAGTATGGTGAAGGCTAGGCAATTGAGTGCTTGTGTAGTCGACACAAAGTAGCGGGCAGCCATGCCGATTAGGGTGGTAAGTGCTGATGGGCGAAGGACCATGTTTAGTCAAAAGTGTCATATATTGAATGCTCTCGAGGTTGATCCCCGCAGGAGGACGAGGACAGACTTCATGCCCAGTCTCCTTATGATAGAGAAAAAGAGTGTAATGGGAAAGGCTAGTAGTGAGCTGCTCACATTCAAGACCACAAAAATGCATGTATATGTACAGATATATATATCATGCATGTATGTGTATACGTCTCGCCTCTGATATCTTATCCGCCCCGGGAGTGTGTAGTACTGGGAGTAAGGATAGTTTTGAGTTAAATAGCTGCCTGCACTACCATAGGTAATGAACAAACGAATTATCACCGTAGGTGAGATCATAGAACTGTATTTTTGACACCACCTAACCAGGATAGAAAATAGAAGAGTGTCATGACAGATTGTACAGAGTACATCCTCATGTCTTTTTTTCCTTCTTCCATTTCCTTCTCTTTTTATACTCGCGTACTTCGAACGAGAGCATGTGTGGATATTGAACCTATCCTGATACCACTGTCTAGTAGTGTATCCGGCCGCCACCAGGTACCTGGCAAAGATACCCGAACCTCTCAACTTCCCGATGCGCCGACAAAGCTTAGCTGAGCGACTGGGCACCTAGTTGAGGGCACTAATTGTTGTCCTCATTTGAATCCACGCTATCGGAGTATTTCTCCGTGAGCGACTTTCGTACGGCTTTAGACACTCTGACTTACTGTTAGTTCGAGGTCAGGCCTGAATTGGAACTGGTGTTGGATTCCACTTGACGGGGGATATAAATAAGAATGTCTGATGTTTTTTTGTCCTCAAAGAACACACAAACGCAACCATGTTACGACTTCATAAAAAAAGAGGCAAAAGAGGCAAAGACCTCTGATACAATGAGAGCGGCAACTCCCATCCTCGTCACCACGGCTACGGCAACCCTGGCTGGGGGTGACATCAAAATCACCGCTATCCTGCCCGCTGGTTGGCTGGCCATCACGACTGATCCATGGAAGTGCCTGACACATACCCTCACTGAGTACTCCGTACTTTGACGTTTCCAGGCCGACTGGTGCCCCGGTGCCTCTGTGTCCGCATCTGTGTTACCTACCTATTCCTCATTCAGTAGCTCGGCATCTATCTAGTGGAAGCCCCATAGCTCAGTGAACTTTTCTCTTGCTGAATAGTGTAACCTCCGGCTGATGCAATGCCGTTCTTTCGATCCCCGGTGGCGCAGCGTGGCTAAATGAAACCATCATCTTTGGTGGATGCTACGCTAATACACATCCGACCCCTAGTTTTGGGTCCTCAAACGGACCATCGATGACGACGGGTCCAACCGCAAACCCAGGGGCAGGAGTCAGTGCTACCAACGCTATATCGCCAACAGTGACACCTACGCCAAATAGCATCGATGGTCGGGGCCAGAGCAGTGCTGAAGCGTGGGTTGGCTCAATTAACTCGACATCACAATAATTCTTACGGGCCGGATGAATGAAAAGGGGTTCAGCGGTGGGCCTGATTGCTACTTTGTTTGCTGTTCATGGCGTCCCTTATCTAGTGATAGACGTTAGCCAAGCTGCCTAATTATGGTTTCTAGTTAATGTGTTAACTATCACTCACCAGGTACCCCTATTAAGCCTTCCATTGATAACTCGTAGGCCGTACATGGTAGCTCTATGGTTGTGCATGTTGAAATCGATGAAGTCGGGATGACGAGATTAGGTAATCTGCAGGGTATTCGGATAAATTATTATCCACATAAGAGCCGCGCTTACATAATTTACTCGCAGATAAGGCGATAAGCTTATCAGTTTATCGCTGATAGAAAAGAAAGACTCGAAGTGGCGATGAAGCATAACGCTTGACGGGCTTAGAGGAGCAGGAGAGTCATAAGTATATATATATATATTCTATACCTATACTGCGCGCAACTAGAAGACCAGAGGCAACATGGCTGACGAGCAAAGTACTCAAGTCGTTTCACATGGACGCGGAGGTAGGCCTCCCTATCTATACAGGGCCCCCTTTCCCTAGCTTTAGATGGCTAACTATTCTTGTATCGCTTACTATACTTATACAGGGCAGGGAAACATCGCTGCTGACTCTACAAAGTGCGTTTTGAAAGATTTTACTGCCCCAGAACGTGTGAGTTCCAGCCAGGCCCTAATGCGCGATATAGATATGTCGATGCAGAAATTGTCCGGGAAGGCATTGAAGGTGACCAGGGGGATGGTGCATATTCTGCAGGGGTAGGCGATCTTTGCCGTTATCATTATCTGGCTGTACAATGTGGTGTGAAGATATACTGATTCCGATGTCCCTTTGTAGCGTGGAGGAATAGGAAATATAGGGTCGCCTAATATCCCTCCTTCTCGAGGCCGACCACACGATGTGGATGTCATTCCACCCTCAGCGGTGAGACAGTCTTCCGGGACTGATTATCATGTCGGCGTACGTCATTCTTACTACTTGTATGTCTGTATCGGACTAACATAGCTTTAGCGAGGAGGTCAAGGAAATGTATGCAGTGAACCGTCCAAGGTAGATAAGGTGGAAAAAAATAAGGGGCCGGAGGTGGAGACGGATGAGAAACCTCAGGCTGCTCCTGAGGGTTTTGCAGAGAGGCTGAAGCAAATG